AGGGGTTGCATTGATATCCTGCATATCAGATACTTACATTGCTATTCATAACTAGCAAAATTACAGTTATGAAGTAGCAATTAAAAATATTTATGGTTGGGGGGGGGTCACCATAACAAGAGGAAGTGCTGTATTAAAGGGTCTAGGCATTAGGAAGGTTGAGAGCCACTGGGGTAGCATCTTGACTATACCCTGATAACGTGAAAGTGAAGCTGTTGCCCTTCCGCTTCCCTGCACAACAGCTGTCATACTAACACTGAAGTTTCTGGTGTCACAGCTGGGATGCCAAGCCTGTAGTGCTGATGGCAGAATAGACAGAGTCTGGTCTTCATCCAGGCGAGAAAAGAACATTAAATGCTGGAGAAGAAGAAAGCTGTGAGTAAAGCCGGCATACGTGGCAACTTGACAATTGTCTTATTCCATTTGGGCCCTTATGCAGAAATACTGAAACATGTGTACCTTATAAATGGCAAGGCTTTGTTCTGGAGGTTGGGAAGTTCAGAGTTAAGCACCTGATGGATTTGGTGTCTGATAGAGGCCTTCTTTCTGAAGAGTATTTTTACTATAACCTACAATAGTTCAAGGAACTAACGAGCTCCCTTGGGCCTCTTTTATGGGGACACTAATCCCATTCATGGGGCTCACCCTCATAACCTAATCACCTCCCAAGGGCCCTCCCTCCCAGTATTCTGGTTAGGATTTCAGCCTGAGAGCTTTAGGGGAACATCAGCATTAAAATCATTGGAACACAATAATAGCCTCTGTACAGGTTTTTGTTTGACTTAGTTTTCTTCTATATAATGTTCATTTATTTGATCCTTGAAACTTGGAGAGCCAACACAACTCAGGACTGAAAACAGAAGTCATGGTGCACACTTGTAATCCAAGTATTGGGGAGGCTATGAAAGGTGGAGGCAAGCCTGGACTGCATGTGGTTGAGTTACTATCGCTATGATGAAACACTGTAACCAGAAACAAGTTGGGGAGGAAAGGGTTTATTTGGCTAACACTTCCATATCACCGTTCATCACCAGAGGAAGTCAGGACAGGAACTCACATCGGGCAAGAACAAATGCAGAGGCCACAGAGGGGTTCTGTTCCCCATGGCTTGCTCAGCCTACCTTCTTATAGATTCCCAGATAACCAGCCTGGGCTGGCTCCACCCACAATGGACTGGACCCTCCCCCATCAGTCACTAATAAGAAAATTCACTGTAGTCTTGCCTGCAGTCCAATCTTATGGGGGCATTTTCTCAACTGAGGCTCCTGTCAGAAGCTGTGTCAGGATGACATTAAGGTAGCAAGCACACCTAGTATATTTAAGTCCCAGGGTTTCCATCCCAACACCCCAAGAACCAGGCATGATGCTCATCCATAATCCCAGTGCTGAGGAGGTAGAGGCAAAAAGAACAGGAACTTAGGGTCATCCTCAGTTTCATAGTGAGGCCCTCCTTTGAAACATAGGAGCCTGTCTCCAAAGAAAAAGAAAGGAAGAAAGAAGGACAGAAAGAAAAGGATTGAAGAGATGACTCAGTTGAAGTGCTAACTGCAAGCAAAAGGAACTGTTGGGGCCCAGAACCCAAGGTTACCATCAGCCACCAAGTTGGACCAGCCTGGGCTGTATGAGACTTGGAAGGAAGGAAGGAAGGAAGGAAGGAAGGAAGGAAGGAAGGAAGGAAGGAAGGAAGGAAGGAAGGAAGGAAAAAACTGGTAAAGCACAAGATTGGCTCTCATTACCATGTTCCTCTTTTTCTCTCCTGTTCACGTATACATGTGGCCAGTAATCATGTAACTGGTTTTCAACCTGAAATTTTTGGTTTTCATTCCTTCTACAACCATCCTAAAATGTTAGTAAATGATTAGAAATTAAGATTTACCAGGGTAGAAACCTAAGCTGGCTGTAGAAACCTAATACAGAACAGGTTGATTCTCACAAGGTATAAAACAGAAAAAAAGCACAGGAATTGGAGATATTAGGTGTTGCCTCAGAAAATGGGGAGGAGAAGAATCACAAAAGATGTGGGGGTAGTAGCAAGGCTACCTCATCCCCTAGCCTGCAAGAAATTACACACAGCTTGCTGATCCTTGGCTTCTCTGATTCCCTGATTTCCTCACCCCACTCACACAGGACTCTGGCATGCCAGCCTGTGCTTCTAGTAGCTCTTTTCTGGGAAAACAAATTAGCCAGAGAGGAGCCACACATAATTGAGGTACTCTTGGATAGCAGTGTGTGCATACAGCTTCAAGAGCAGCTCATAACATATAGAAGAGGAATATTAAATAAGCACTTAATATAAAAGATCTGAATAGCATGAGAAATTGTTCACTATATTTTGAACTTCAAAATGATGTACTGTAATCCTACTTGAAGATATCAGATTTGTATAAAGCTGTACACAATGTTTGTTTCAATGTTGCTTAAGATAGTAAAAAATTAAAGATAACTTAGATTTTTCAACAGTGATGGATTAATTAAATGATAATTCTGGAAATGGGTATAGTAGCATGAACCTGTACTCCAATACTTAGAAGGTCAGGGGAGGACCAGAAATTCAAGGTTGTCTGCTTCATACAGGTGAATTCAAGGCCACTCTGAGCTATATGTGACTGTCTTAAGAATGAAAAGGGTTCTTGAGCAGTTTTCATCTTCTCTTTCATTTAACTATTTTTCTACAAAGAAAGTTTTTATTTTGCTTTGCTTTTGTTTTTCAGGGAAAAAAAAATATAGAAAACTTCAAAAATACACCAAAGTAGAGATAAGAATTTAATTCCTGCAGCACTCAAGAGGCAGAGGCAGGTGTTCGAGACCAGTACGGTCTACAGAGTGAGTTCCAGGACAGCCAGGGTTACATAGAGAAGCCCTGTGCTGAAAAACCAAAACCAACAAACAAAACAAAGAACTCCTGGATGGCCCAGCTTCAACAATATGACTTTTTTTCCCCCCAGTCTTCTGTATCCCTGCCCCACCCATTTGGGGAGGGCTGGAGTATTTCAAAATAGATGGCAAACATCACATTATATAACCTATAAATGTTCTATGTATTTCTGATAAGGACCCTCATCAGAACATAACAATTGGGCCATTATATTAACATGTTAACATCAGTTTTTTTTTTCCCCCACCCATCCCTGATTGCCCCCATGTCTCTCTTTTAACCAGGTTCTAAAAGGTGTGCATGTATTTATACTTGGTTATTAAATCTCTTAATGCTCTTCTGTCCCAAGTATCCCTTCTTGCCTTCCCTCGTCTATTGTGTACAATTTTTGAGGAAGCAGTCAGGGAAACACATATGACTTACATTGTATGTCAGTGGTTGCTCTCTGTCTGGGTAGAGGAATAGGGCTTGATTAGTGTGTACCAAATAGTCCCAGCACTCTGGAGGCAGAGGCAAGCAAGGCCAGCCAGAGCTACATAGACCCTGTCTCAAAAGAAAAAAAAAAAGACATAACTAGTCACAAAACCTACTGCCTGCTTACAGCCTGGTTTATTAGAGGGCTTGCATTCTCTAACAGATGCCGCTTTCTCCAGACTCTCCATCTTCACTCCTCCTTCCTATTTCCTCTTCCTCCTTGTCTCCTAGTCCCTCCTATCTTCCTTTCCTATTGGCCAACAGTGCTTTATTATTAACCAGTATGAGAAACATATACAGAATGACATCTCCCATCAGAAGAAACCTTAAAACATTATATTTTCTCTACAATGTGTTAATGTATACAAAAGCAAAACAATTTGTGTTGGCTACTGTGTTTTAGGGCTCTAGAATCTCCAGTCAGAGTGATAACAGGTATGATGAGAAGAGGCCTAATTGTAGCTAAACCTTGAATATAAAGCCAGTAGGGCTTTCTTGTGGAAAGATGGAGAGGGTAAAATACCAGGGACGACTTCCAGGTTTTGTTTGGTGGTGTGAAGGAAAGGAGTAGGCTGGATTTGAATATTCAAGAGGGTACGTGTGATGAAGAGAAGGGCTGAGAACCAAGGCTAGGATGTTCTAGCATTTGACTGGGAGGAAAGAAGGAACAGAAGATGAGCCAGAAATACCAGCTACTGAAAGGCCAGCAAAGCCTCCCAAGCACCGTAAAGCCATCTAAAAGGATCTCTAGGAGGGGGCTGTTTTCAACCATTGTGTCAGATGTTAGCACAGATTCTCCCTTGCCTCTGTGTTGTCCTTAACTGCTCACTTTAAAAGTTATGAATGGAAGATTATCTAAAGAAAAGTTCCAATTAAATTGTTATATGCAAACTTTTAGTGAGTTTTTAACTACACATAGGGTAAAACATTAGTCTATTTTGCTGGCAAAAAGGGGGTTCCTTAATGTCTGTAACATTTATATGTCTTGTCAAAATTGTGGATTCCACCTCTCCATGACTCCCCAGACAGCAGCTTTTGATCTCCTGCCATGTGCCAATTGAAAAAAAAGTCTGACTACATACATCTAAGTACAAAGTAACAGAAGCATGAACTGCGGTAGCAGGCTTTCATAAACTCATGCAGAGTTCACCAAGTGGAAGGTTGCTTTATTCCCATTGTCGGGATGCTTGAACTTGAATTAACCATTTCATGTGTTTTGGGAAGTACCATACTTTATCAAGTACTTAAGCCACAGTTGATGGGTAGATTGTGATCTTTTGGCTGGTGTTTTTAAGATGGGCTCACCAACCCCATTTTTTAATTTAAAAAACCACCCCAGTTGCTCACCAAAATCTTGAGACGATTGGATCTTCACACTTCTTGCCCTGGTTGTTATGTGTACTTTGCTGTTGTATGTGATGATTGTAGGAGATCACTGGTTTTTTCTTTCAGTTCTTAAACATGTGAATTCTTTTAATTTAAGCACTGTTTAATCCTGTAGTATCTGGAATTCTCACCTTCACCAGGCTGGCTAGAAGCTAGCTGTCTTCACTTCCTAGCCTTGAGAATGGAAGTTAATCTTTAATCTGATGACTGCTCTGAGGGGGTTGGGGGCCAATCCTCTGACATCTCCTTAACTTAAAATTTGAAGATATGTTGTCACAGAATTGATGCAGAGTGACCTCCATAAAATTATCGTCTCTCCTCAGCCACTCAGCTCAGATCATGTCAAAGTTTTTCTTTATCAGATTTTGCGAGGTAAGTTTTTCCTTTATTAAGAAAAAGGCAACGTGGTGGCATTAATGAGTCATTTTGACCCTCATTTGAACTTTATTCTGGCCTTCCAAGCCTTTTTCCCCAAAGAAAACAAAGTTGTTTCACTCTTTTTGTATTTGATGTTGAACAAGAGGCATGGGGCTAGAAGCACTAGATTAAACTCGGATCCTTGAGCATGCTAGTTACATCCTTGCCAACAAGAGGCTTTTAATGTGTTTAAATTTTTTTTTTTTTATTTTTATTTTCATTTGGGCAGAGGGCAGTCGAGTGGATTGATCTAAGGAGGCAGGTAAAAAATGGTTTGTCACAAATTTCGCTGACTGCCTTTAGCTTTTCATAGCCTGTGGCATCAGGTAACTAAAAAGTGACTATCCTCTATGGAAGATACTCATCCTTCAATGGAGCCAGTAATCGGTGGACTTGACTGAGTATTGACTACCATAGCTGAGTCCCACTTAGCTCAAAATGGCCATTAAAGCCCAAAGCAGATGGAGAATACTGGTAGAGACAGCAGCTAAGTAACTCCAGACAGTGCAGGAAGAGCACAGACCAGACTGTGAAGCAATTTAGGCCAGTATGATTGATGCCCCCTCTAGCTCCAGCTGTGTCCAGAATTCTACCTTGACAAACGGAGAATTATTTAAAGCTGAAACCACTTCCTTGTCTGGTGAATACAGTTTTTCACAGAATTATAGAATTACATTCTACAAAGAAGTTGAAAACATCTTCCAAGGATTAAAACACATAAAGCGATATTATAACAACAACAAAAATTCATATGCAATGGACGTGTTGATGTTCTGTGGTTGGGGGGGGGGGATGGAAAAGATTCTTGACTCATTTACACTTGTGACTTTCAGCAATCTTGATGTCCAGTCTTTTAAGTGGTCACAAGTGCTGCTGACAGATCTAGGCAGGTCCCTGAGTTTTGTCCTGTCACTGAAATGCCTATCCTGGGAAAGGCCTCCCATAGGTTAATGGAATCTTCATCATTGGAGCAGGCTCAGAGTCACAGGTTGGGAGTATCAGTAGCAGAACTCCATCTAGTAACCACATGGAGGAGCATGGCCAGTCTTAACTCCAGGGCCTGTTTAACAGCCTTACCTATGCTTCAAACCATGCAATCTTTTAAATTATAGAGGTTGTCACGATTGTGACACTTTATCTTACTGCAACAAAATTACACTGTTTTGAAGAGGACTAAGTCAAGCTGTTTTTCTGTTTGGTTTTTTTCTGAGATAGGGTATCTCTGTATTGCTTTGGAGTCTGTCCTGGAACTAGCTTTGTAGACCAGGCTGGCTCATAGAGATTCAACTGCCTCTGCCTCCCAAGTGCTGGGAGTAAAGGTGTGTGCCACCAACACCCGGCTCTAAGTCATGCTTAACTTTTGTTTAGAGAATAATTTAAAATCTAGTCCATTTAAGGTTAAATATCTGCAATTAACTGTTTATTATTTCAGGTTTGAAATATCTCCATTCAGCTGGCATTCTACATCGAGACATTAAGCCAGGGAATCTCCTTGTGAACAGCAACTGTGTTCTAAAGGTAACTTTTCAGTTATTTAAAGATCTGAGAAAAATCAAAAATGTTTGGCTCAAGAGTATTTTCTGTGGTTTATTAGAAATAAAGAGAATTTTCTTCAGCCTCGTCATTTGTCAAGGCCATCAAAACTAGTCTGTGGTCTTGGTTCTTTTTCTTTCTTTTTCTTTTTTTAAACACGTTTGCTTCTGTTTTCAAACACTTAAATAAGGATTATAATATCATGAAAAAGAATGATACTCTTTCAGAAATTCTTACCTTTTCAGATTGTTCCATTATTTATTACAGGAAGTTAAGAGACATGACCACAGCAACTCTTATAAAGGAAAAAAATTTACTGGGGCTGGCTTATAGTTTCAGAGCTTCAGTCCATAATTGTCATGGTAGAAGCATGACAGCATGCGGCCAGACATGGTACTAGAAAGGTAGCCAGGAGTTCTACATCTGGATCTGTAGTCAGCAAGAAGAAAGTGAGACACACTGGGCCTAACTTGTGCATCTAAAAACTCAAAGCCTGCCTCTAGGACACACTTCCTCCAACAAGGCTACACCTCCTAATAGTACCACTCCCTGTGGGCCTATCGGGGCCATTTTCTTTCAAACCACCACAGAAGTGTTTATCAGACAGAATTAGACTCTAAAGTGTTGTGCCAGGAAAGGGAATATCAAACTAGTGAATGTATATCTACAATCTGGTAGTCAAATCTTCCCCCATAGAATAAATTATTATATTTTATAATTCCCAAGTCTCAGTTTATGTGCCAGGAGGAGGCCATGCTTCAAAAAAAATAGCAGCATGTCTCTGCACAGTGGTAACCCCAGTATTTCAGAAGTAAAGGCAGGATGGGGGGAAAAAACCTGAACCTCACATCAACTTTTACCACTTTCCTAGTTCCTACTTCTGATTATCCTCTGTAGCAAAATCCACAGTATGTATTTATTGAACCTTGAATACATAAATATATTTTCCACACTCCTGAATAGTGACATATCCTTCCCAATTTTCCTCATGATAGAAAATAGAAATGGGGGCAGGAGAGTGGGATCAATGGTTGAAAAAGCCTACTGCTCTTGTAGAGGACCAGTTTCTGTTCCCAGCACCTACATGGTCGCTCACAGCTGGTGTAGCTCCAGTTCCAGAGGGTCTGATGCCTCTTCTGCACACATGTGCACATAAAACGAAATACTTTTTAAAGGAAAAGTAGATGCTGCACTGTGGTGGCACACACCTTTAATCCCAACACCAGGATCACAGTCTGTTAAGGGACACCAGGACAGAAACTCCAGGCAGGGACTGAAGCAGAAGCCTTGGAGAAGTGCTGGCTTGCTCTGGGCCTCCTTCCCCCCACCCCCCACCCAGGACCACCTGCTCAGGGATGGTATGGCCCACAGTGAGCTCAACCCTTGCACATCAATCATCAATTAAAAAATATCCCCACAGGCCAATCTCATGGGTCCATTTCCTCATTTTGAGGTTCCATCTTCTCAGATATGTCTATGTTTGTGCTAAGCTGTCAAAATGTAAACAGTACACTGGGCTTGGTCATTCTCAGCTATATAGCAGGCTTTAAAGCTATGCTGTCTCAAAAATGAACAAAGGAAGGTAGGTGTCTGCTTGATATATCTTACTGGGGTGGCTGCAGAGATGGCTCAGTGGTTAAAAGCACTGATTGGCTGCTCTTCCAGAGGTCCTGAGTTCCCAGCAACCAAATGGTGGCTCACAGCCATCTGTAATGAGATCTGGTGCCCTCTTCTGGTATGGATAATGTCTTACTGTCTTTTATATTTAGATTTGTGATTTTGGATTGGCCAGAGTGGAAGAATTAGATGAATCTCGTCATATGACTCAGGAAGTTGTTACTCAGTATTACCGGGCTCCAGAGATCCTAATGGGCAGCCGACATTACAGCAACGCTATTGACATCTGGTCTGTCGGATGCATCTTTGCAGAACTACTGGGCCGAAGAATATTGTTTCAGGCACAGAGTCCCATTCAGCAGGTGTGATTTTTGCTTTACAGCTTTATTTGCTTTTAATTCTGCTGTTCACTGGAAAGCCAGAAAGTTATGAAGTTGAAGATTGCAGAGGTTCATTCTGCAAGTTAGGAGCCTATTAGAGAAAGCATTCACTTTGTCACATGCACTGGTGCTTGGCAGCAGACTAGGCTCTGCAATTGTGTAGGTGTGGTCTTGAGTTGTTAGAAGGCATCTGTTCCTTCCAGCTGGATGGCTATGACTTGAAAATGTATTTGATGACTAGGCTATATACTTTTAGTGTTGATTACTTCAAATCTGTTTTAAAAAGTCTTAACTTTTTTATTGGACTAAAATATTTAGATGTAGCATAGAACACCAGAAGATAATTGAAATACAGCTTTAAGAAACCATTTGCAGCCAGGTGTGGTGACACATACCTTTAATCCCAGCATTCCTAAGGCAGAGCCATTGGATTTCTGTGAGTTCCAGGCCAGCCTCATCTACGTAATGAGTTCCAAAGTTTCAGTGTGGCTAAACCTATATAGTCAGACCCTGTCTCAGCAAAAGGAGGGTTGGGTGATGGTACACATCTTTAATCCCAGCGCTTGGGAGGCAGAAGCAGGTAAATCTCTGGGTTCAAGGCCAGGCTGCTCTACAGAGCAAATTCAAGCCAGAGATACATAGAGAAACCATGTCTCAAAGGGAAGAAGGAAGGGGTGGAGGAAGTTGCAGAGGTGGCTCAGTGGTTAAGAGCACTTGCTGTTCTTCCAGAAGACCTGAATTTGATTCTCAGCATCCACATCTGGTGACCCACAGTTACCTATCACTTTAGCTCCGGAGATCTAACTTCTCTGACCTCTGCAGGGTTCTTGCACTCAAATGTACACACACAGTTAAAAAATAATTTTTTAGGTATAAAGATAAATTGAAGGTAGGCATGGTGGCATATGCCTGAATCTTTATACTTGGGTGGCAGAAGCAGTAGATCTCTATGAGTTTGAAGCCAACTAATCTACATGGAGAGTTCCAGGCCAGCCAGGAAACCCTGTCTCAAAAGAAAGGTGTGTGTGTGGGGGGGGGGGGGGGTGTTCTGTGCTTAGTGTGTTAAGAGCACTGGCTGCTTCACTGCTTCAGGGTTTGATTGTCAGCGCCTATCGACAGTTCACAAGTGTCTGTAACTCCAATGGCAGGAGTTCTGACTCTTCTGCTAGCCCCTTCAGGCCTGCATGCACGCACTTGTTGCACAGACAAAAATACTCATAAAATAAAAATAATAAATCTTTTTTTTTTTAATAAGCAAAAAAAAAAACTCATTTATTGCGAAGTGTGTGAGAGAGGAGACCTTTATAAGTTCAGAACTAGCCTGGTCCATGTAACAGGTTCTGGAGAAGTGTAAGTGTGAGCCTCCCGGTCTTTCAGAACCACCGGAGAGCTCTTATCAGTGTGTCTGGGGTAGTAATCACCACAGAAGACAGACATATGCAGAAGTACTCTAACATGTGGAAGTAGTTACTGTCTCTTGTATTTTCTTTCTGTTTTTGAGAAATAAATATACTGGGTACTGAACAGCCAGTGGACTTTATAAAAGTGTTTCTCATCCGCAGATCTGTCCCACTTTAGACACCTTCCTGAGCATGTCCATCAGGCAGTCATTTCCTTCTGCCATCAGTGTGGTTGTTAGAGTCCAGCAAGTGTCACCACCATGCTTCCCTTAGAAGGCTCTCTAAAGATCTTATCCTCTTCAGGGGACAGCAAGTTTCTCAAGCAGTTCCTCCAACCCCCTCTTCCCCATACTGATGCTGATGGCTGCCTGCCCATGGTGTAGATAAGTAGTGCAAATGCAGGACTCTGTACATGAATTTCCCCTCCTAGGGGGATCTAAATGAAATGTGCTGTTAATTATGTTATAGAGTTGTAACAATTTCAGCACTCCAGAAAATTGGTAAGGTGGTTTACAAGGAGGGCACTGTCAGTCAAGTCTCCTTTATTGAGCCCAGTTTTCTAAGTTCCACATTTTTCTGCCAGTGTAAGAGGTTTCTAGAATGTAAGAGGTATGTGCTCGTCCAAACATTGAGTGCTTAGCTTTTATTTCAGGTGTGAATGTTTTGGGTATTTATTATATCACATGTATCTGATGTGTAGATTAGCCTCTTGATGGGCTCGAATCCATTTGAAGCATTAAAATCTATTTATTGTTTGAAGAGAACAATCAGTAGTCACTATCTACAAAGATGCTCTAGTTGTAAAATAGTAGGGCGCACAGATATAAGACTCCAGAGTTACTCTAGTGTTAGAACACTGTTCAGCTTCCATGGAATGTAGCTCAACTGGCCTCTTCTGTCTTAGCCTCCTAAGTGGTAGGATTACAGTATGGACCACCTAAGCTGATTTAAAAAACAAACAAACAAACAAACAAAAATGCTAAAAATTAATTTTTTTTTTTTTTTTTTTGAGACAGGGATTTTCTGTATAGGTTTGGAGCCTGTCCTGAAACTCACTCTGTAGACCAGGCTGGCCTCAAACTCACAGAGGTCTGCCTGCCTCTGCCTCCCAAGTGCTGGTATTAAAGGTGTATGCCACCACTGCCTGGCTAAGAAAGGGCTCTTACCAGAGCTTATTTGAAGGTTTGTGGTTCTAAGGTTTTAAAAGGAAAAAAAAAAAAAAAAAGTGCCATTCATGTTTTAAGGCCACAGCTTAAGTCTAATGAAGTTGTTTCTGTGAGTTACTATCAACCTGTATTTCATGTTCCCTTGCAGTTGGATTTGATCACAGATCTGTTGGGCACGCCATCACTGGAAGCAATGAGGACAGCTTGTGAAGGTGCTAAGGCACACATACTCAGGGGTCCTCATAAACAGGTAAAGAGGTAAAGAGGAGAACAGTCTGCCTTTGTCACTTGACTATAAGGGAAGGATTTCTATTCCAAAGATGTTGCTTATAGGTAATAGACACACACATGTATATAAACACATCCATACAAGCAGAAGCATCCTACACGTAAGATCTCTTGTTATGCATATATGACCATAAATAGAAAATTACTGATGGCCATGCCCAGCACCATAGGAGAAGATGCATGTTTTTTAGCACCACTGCTTATTGACCTCTTGGTGGTCTCCTGGTTTGTCAGTATGTGGGAAGAAAGCCTTGGCCTCAGTGCATGTAAGTCAAGATGCCCTTTCCAGATACGGAGCCCAAATAACTGGTATCTCTTTGCCATGCAAGGATGTAAAGCAGTTGCTGTTGTATTCTTACCACTAACATCACATCACACCCAAATGTGGTTAGAAGTATAAAGGAGGATTGCCTAGTTTTTATTAATCAATATCACTTGCAGCCAGCCAAGTCACGGTTGAGAAGCCAACGTGCTTTCTGTCTGCACTCTTGATTAAGCAGTATCTTCTGCCAGAACTTTCCTAATCCCCTTTAGAGAAAAAAGTTTAGTGGTGTAAAGAGTGAGTGAGGGGAGCACTTTCCCTAGGAACAGGAAACAAGCAGAACCAATAAGTTTTGAGCAGGACAAGCCAAGGCTATTTTTCCCTGGCATTGCCTTGGTTTCTTTTAAATAGAGCATCTAGGTGATCTGATTATTTAGATGAACTGCTGGGCCTACCAAAAGACAGACTGAGTTAGCATTCTTCCTCTGAAATTGCCCACCAGACATTTGATCAAGGCTTCGAGTTCCCTCCCTATAATCCCAGTGACTTCCTGCTTCCACAGGTGCTCAGGCCAGTGAATAGAGAGAGGTAGGTGCTTATGCTTTGTTTTAATTCATATTCGTTTATTTTTGAGGCAGGGTTTTTCTGTGTATCCCTGGCTTATCTCTAGTTCACTGTGTAGATCAAGTTGGCCTCAGACTCACAGCAGGCAGATGACCAGGTTTATATTTAAAGAGCCTCCTTATGGGCATATGCTTTTGTAGTCTTTTGTTCAGACTATGAAATAGTTTGAGGCCCAGTTTGAGGAATGAAGTAACCTTTTGTTTGTTTGTTTGTCTTTTTGTTTTTCGAGGTAGGGTTTCTCTGTGACTTTTGAGCCTGTTCTAGAACTAGCTCTGTAGACCAGGCTGGACTTGAACTCACAGAGATTTGCCTGCCTCTGCCTCCTGAGTGCCACCAATGTCCAGCGGATGTAGTAACTTTTTTAAAGATTTATTTTAAATTATGTCCATGTGGATGTGTGTCTGTGTGCACATGACCACAGGCAGCTGAAAGCAAATGCCCGGCAGTTGAAGTCCAGCAGTTGTGAACGCACCTTAGGTTCTGGGAACTCACGTCTTCTGCAAGAACAGTAGTTACTCTTAACCACTGAGACATCTCTCTAGCCCCTGGGAATTCAGTACTATTAACCAAGAGGAGACTCTGTATTACAGGAGAAGCTAACAGGGTCTGTTATGCTATTTACTGGTCAGCATCAGGAACATTAAACTAATTTGTTACTGTTTTATAGTAAGTGTGCCTTTGTAAATAGAATAATTTTCCTTCTTTATTGACCTCATCAGTTTAATAAATCTCCCTAGCCAAAGATAACCAGTAATGAGATGTAAGACCAGACACCCTGGTATCACTCAGCCTTCCCTAAAGGTTCTAGCTAATGGTTATCCTAGTGCTACTAACAACAGCTTAGAAGGCAAACCTTCTGAGATGTTCCTGACATGATAAAAGAGCTTAAATGTCTCCCTACAGAAGAGTTGTTATGCACTCCTTTGAGCATTCTGGGCAGATGAGTCCATTTTCTCATAAGAATTTTGAACCCAGCAGCTGTAAAAGTCTAGAGCCCTCAACTGGGTATGGTGGCACACTCCTGCAACCCCAGCATTCAGGAAACAGACAAAAGGACTGTGAGTGGAAACCAGCTTGGAATACCTCTCCTCAGACCCTGTCTCAAAAAAGAATTTTTAAAAACTTAGATCTTTCAATTAAAAAAACAAAAACAAAAACTTACCACATTATTTTCTAAAACAAAAGAGGAAGGAGAGGAACATTTTAAAGCTCTATTTTTAAATTAAATGAATTCTACAAGAATCCTTTCTTCTACTCTTCCCATGACTTGGCCTCGTGGTGAGGGATACCTCCTGGTGAGATTAAGGTTGGCTCACCAGGTTGTCTGGTCTAAGGGGAGCACCACAGCAATGTTAGTCTTGGTATCAGAGGATTTGATTTTGAAGAAAAAATGGGTAGGGTGAGAGTTAAGAGACCCTGCTGCACAGTGGTGGTTGCGTCTTCACATATTAGTCACAGCTTTAGGAGGGTGGCATCTCTTAGGCTGGTGGTGCACTGTGCCTACTGCATGCAATTGACAGTAGCATAAATGGCACCATTTTTTTTTTTTTCCCCTCCATTATGGGAATTGACTTTGATCTGCATGTGCTAGTTAACCTGTGTACCATCACTGAGTTCTGAGTAAAGTTCACAGGCTCTCGAAACTCCTTGTGTAAGTCTTTTTCCCTCCCCCACCCCCCACCTCATGACGCACAGCCATTCACTTGTTAGCATGCTAGCAGCCTCACTGAAAGCTCTCTCTACTCCTGTCAGAACTTCTCACAGCAGAGGTTAGAAGATACAACTGCAGACAAGGTTATTTAATATGTAGACAGATAACTCTGTATTTTCTCAACATTTTTTTTTCCTGTTCTTATTTTGGTTTTTGGTTTCTTGTATGTGTGGGTTTTTTGTTTTTGTTTTTTTGTTTTGTTTTGTTTTTTGTTTTGTTTTGTTTTTGTTTTTTGCCCCCAGCTTGTTATTTGAGTTTTGTTTTGTTTGATATTTTTGAAATAAGGTCTGGCCTCATCTTGTGATCCTCCTGCCTCAGCCTCTCCAGTACTGGAATTACAGGTTTGTACTACTATTCCCAGTTCCTGTACTCTGCTCCAAAAAAATTAATTTGGTTCCCAGGTTATAATGTGGAACTTGTGTAGTTTTATATGTCATGGCTATTCCACAAAATGCATGATGTTTAGTTGACTCCGTTGGCTTATTTTTCTCTGGACTGTATTGAAGAAGAATGCAGGCTGTGGTGTCAGTCTCAGGCTTACCACATTAAAAAGCTTGTTGAATGGTGTCCCATGAGTTGTACAGTGCAGGCTGTAGGCAGATTGTATAAGGCCCTACTAGTAACTCAGTCTGTGACCTTGGGCAAATTATTTAACTTCTATCTGCTTCAGTTTCATTCTTCACTAAAATAGGGATAAAAATAGTTCCTCTGGCTGGTAAGATGGATCATTGAGTAACATACTGGCCTCCAATCCTGATGGCCTGCTTTAGTCAGGCCCCAGAACCCATATGGTGGAAAGAGAAAACTCACTCCTAAAAGTTGTTCCCTAACATCTCCACATAATGCTTTGGCACCAGCACCTACCCACACACCTACATTCACAGAGTAATAATAAAATTAATGCCCTCCCACATCAGTCAACAATCAAGAAAATGCCACAAACATGCCTACAGGCCAGTCTGGTGGAGGAAATCCCTGAGCCTCCACCTTCCCAGGTGTATGAAGTTGACAACCAACACTAGCCATCACACTAAGCTTTTAAGTAGTTCTTATTTAAACTCTTTACCCTACTCCAAGTTAAGTGAAAATTATTAATATATTAGAAATAATTTCTAGGGGGCTGTAGAGATGGCTCAGTTGTTAAGAGCACTGGCTGCTCTTCCAGAGGACCCAGGTTCAATTCCCAGAACCCATATGGCAACTCACAATTGTCCATAACAATTCCAGGAGATCTGGCACTCTCACACAGACATATATGCTGGCAAAACACCAATGCATATAAAATAAAAATAAATTATGAAAAAAGTAATTTCTAGCAGTAATTAGAAGCTTACTATGAATGTGTGCTGAGACTTGTCATAAATACCTTTTATATTCTACTCATAAAAACACTTATTACACTATTAATCCTTTTGTTCATGGAAGATGGAGGATTGCAGAGATTAAATAATAATAAGCCTGATCTTCAAAATTTCTTTTTTTTTTCTTCCTTCTTGTTTCTGAAGTAAAAATGGTTTATTCATGACACAGTGGACACGAGGCAAAAGTGTCTCATATCACAGACAGCATATCCAACTTCCTGAAGTGTCCATTTCTTTAGCATAAAGAAGAGAATGAAGGTATAGACAGGCAATGCTAAGGCAGCTAAGATGGGGTGGCTCTCTATTGTCATCTTCACAGAAAAAAACTCCAGGGTCCATTAGTGGCACATTGATTCTCTATAGATTGTCAGGTGTGGGCACAGGTGAGGCCTCCACTGTGTTGTGCCCTTCAGTCGTCTCCACTACACAGGTGCAGCAGTGCCTACAGTCATCCTTGGTGTCTCTCTGAATTTAGGAGTATAGAGACTGAATTTTGGAGTATAGTAGTCAAGACTGATTTCATTCAACATGTCCACTTGGCTTTGGGAGACCATGATTCTAATCAGGACCTTGTTGTAATGCCCCTTGCCCTTCATGGAGTCATACAGCCAATCAGTAACGCAAAGTGGCTTTTTCAGAGTGCACTGGACCAGGTTCAGGAATGCGTTTTCTGGGTCTCCTTTGACCTGCTTTTTGATGCTCTCCAGCATGTCATAAGGGCTGTAGCTCTTGTACCTTTCCAACATTTTCTAGAGGTGGCATACAGTGGTCTGGGTGGGTCATGATGCTTATCCACTTGGGAACATTCAGTTCCATTCATCGTCACTCCAGCATCGTAAAGCTCCCAAGCCTTCTGGTCAATTAGTTGGATGTCATCAACTGATCCTCTGCTCTTCTGCCCTTTGCAAGAGCAACCATCAGCTTGCAGAAATTACCAGATTGTGGGAAATGATGTCCTTATCCAGAGTGGTTCTGTATGTCTCCTGCTGCAATTTGTTAATCTCCTGCAGCTTGTGGTTGGTTCTTGAGCAGATGATCTTGATAAGGGAGCCCTCAATCAATCCCAGGCCTTTCACAGAGGCTTTCAGTGGAGAAGCATCATACTGGGCAGGTGTCTTCATGGGCCCCATATCATTGTCTCCAGTGGCCAGTTAAGGCTGACTTCAGAGCTGATAGACAAAGGCAGTGTCTTGTCTCTGTACATTGCTGTGGTTAGTCAGAATGTTGATGGTGGCAACTTCGTCCATTCGTTTGGTCTTGACAGTCTTCTCAAAGTATACCTCTCAACATCAAAGTTGGTGGTGTAGGCTTTGACAGACCATAGGCACTTGGGGTTGTGGAGTGATCACCCTCCAAGCTGAGCTTGCATGGGATTTTGTGGGCAGTAGATGGTTTTTGAAAAAAGCTGGGTCATGCAGGAAACCCTGAGTTGTCTCCAAAAACAAAATTAAGTTTCTTAACTAAGCATAGTGATGCTAATCTGTAATCCCAGCACTTGGAGGCTGAGGCAGGAGAAGCTATAGACACAGCAGGCTGAAAGAAAAAAAAATTATTATTCTAAATAATAAAGTCAGGTAAGGGAGGAATGTGTTGGACCTGGCCAACTATTGCTTGTTTAGCCTGGAAACAGTCTGGGTCTCAAAAAATAGTGTTAGTCAATTGTCTAACATTATCTGTGAAATTGGTAGGATGAAATCAAGCCAACCAAACCACTGTTTTTTTTTGTTTTGTTTTGTTTTGTTTTGTTTTTGACAGTGGAAGAATTGTTGAGTCACTGCAAATCAGGGGTTCTTGGCAGGCAAAACCAATATATAGCATTTTTATTGTATTGTCTTTTTAACAACTCAGACTCTGAGATGGGGAAACTTAGCTTAGTAAAAACAGCACTTGTCTTCTGCAGGACCATGTCTGCTATTCAACAGACTCAGAGAGTGATAAAGAGTTTGTTCTGGTGTAGGATTCTTTTATGTGCATCCTGCTATCCACAGTACATGGTGAATCCTCAGTTAATGTGGTGACTTAATCACAGGCCCTTTGGTGCCAGTCAGAGTCTAAACCTTTTGATAGTTGGATGGGAACTAAAGGAATACCTTTGTAAAGGACCCTTGTACAGCCAGGCAAAAACCACTGTATCGAGATCATACTCGTGAGGATGGTGGTTCAAATTTTTTCTCTCTTTTTCTCCATCCCTAAGCATGTTTGGTCTTCCCTTATTGCCAAAGCAGCCACCTTATTTATTGGGTCAGTATTCATTTGTCATGATTTTTGTACTCTGACCTATTATATTATTGCTGTACTCTGACCAGGTACACTGCTGGAAGTCAGTGAGAATTAACCCTTCTAAAGACTGATCCATCAGTGGAGTGAAACTCATTCCCTTTGAGTTTAGATGTGTTTGATGTTTGTATTCATTCACCTTTCACCTTTTTTTTTTTTTTTTTTTTTTTTTTTTTAAAGCTGTTTTAAGACAGGGTCTCACTGTGTATCCCTGACTAGCTTGACACTCACTCTGTAGATCAGGCTGGCCTAGAACTCAAAGAGATCCACCTGCCTCTGCCTCCTGATTGCTGGGATTAAAGGTGTGAGCCACTACCCCTGGTTCACAACATCATTTTGACCTGGCTAATTCTTTTGCTATAAATTGACTATATTCCATATCCACATATTACCTAAAGGCCTGAATACTTGAATTTTTCTCTTTTCACAGCCATCTCTTCCTGTACTCTACACCCTATCCAGCCAGGCCACACATGAAGCTGTTCACCTACTTTGCAGGATGTTGGTCTTTGATCCAGTAAGTAGTATTTACTTTTATATATTTTTACTTCTGTTGTGTTTGAATGTTGTGTCTGCATGTATATCTGTGTACCACGTGTTTGCTTTGTGCTCCCAAAGGTCAGAAGAGGGAGTCAGATCCTTGGAACTGGAATTACAGATGGTTGGGAGCCACCATCTGTGACTAGGTTCTGAATCCTGGTTATCTACTAGAGCAGAGAGTACTCTTAATAAGTGCTGGGCCATTGCTCTAGCCCCTATTTTTGTATTTATTAAATAAATTTTAAAATAGTATTCTAAGTAGCATCCTGGCTTTGACTAGACTGGCAGTGTAAATAATGACTGGAATGGCAGACTGCAGCCCCTATTTTGTGTTTTCCCGTGCTAACTCATCTCACACACACTTTTTTGAGTATTGATGCTTAGATTTAAGCAAAGCTTAGGTAAAGCTCTAGAAGACATTGCCATTCTTATGATCTTAGTGTTTATAAAAGGATTTGACACCAAGTTAAATCTAGAGGAGGGAAATGTAATTGTTTGAAAAATCATCCATTGTATGGCATATGGAAATGTTTTCTTTGGGTTGAGGCTGTAACTTTTCTGAACCTCTTTTCTGGACTCTTCTTCTGGACCTGTGCTACAAACTACACTGTGATGTCTGCTGTTTATTTGTTCATTCATCCAAATCATTTATCAGTCATATCTGTGCCTGTAATTATCATCAACAGACATTCAATTGGAAACATTTAAAAAAGAAAATATACTTTAAGATACAAAGAAATGACTAAACACAAATACAAGAGGTATTTAAAGAATTTTTTTTTAAACTTACAAAATTATGATCTGTGGTGAGAAGAGAACATTTTTGTAATGTAATAATCAGATCCACATTACTATCTGCAGACAGGACTACAAGAAGAAATTAGAAGAGTTGTGTATGATTACACATGCTTTTAATCCCAGCACTTGGCAGGCAGATCTCTATTGAGGTCAAAGCCAGCCTAGTGTGAGTTCCAGGACAGCCAGGGCTTTGTTGGGGCAGGGGGTGGGGAATTGAGAATTAGGGGCAAAAAAAAAAAAGTTGGGTTTGAACCAGGCATAATGATGTATAAATATCAACCCAACTTTATTTACAGGGTGAAATTGGGGTTTCAAGTTCCTCTTTAGCCACATGGTTGAGTTGTTTTTTACTTTTGTTTTTTTGAGACAGGGTTTCTCATGTCTTAGCTGTCCTGGAACTCACTTTGTAGACCAGACTGGCCCTGAACTCACTGAGATCCGCCTGCCTCTGCCTCCCAAGTGCTAGGACTAAAGGTGTGCACACATGGTGAGTTTAGAGCTACCGTGCATGAGACCTTGCGATAGTGAGATGATTTAGATTGTGGCCTTAGGAACATGAAAACATGAAAAGTTGTGTGAAGTGCTGAACATCCTAGAATCAAGGCAGCGTGTCATTTTCATTGTCTCCCAATGAGCCCGTCCTCAGGTCCCGTAAGATCCGCTTTCCCTTCATACTCCACTGATCACTGAGAGTGGTTGGCTTTTTGCTGGAGTTTAAAGTTTATGGGTCAGTAAGCCTGATGTATTAACTGTTCTGATTCAAAGGCCTCAGAAGCCAGAAAATAGGCTGCTGCTGCTGACCTCAGCCTGACATTCACACTGCCCCTCTACTAACCCTGCAGTTTCTGGGTATGATTTGCTCTGTTCACCTATATTCAAAGAGAATAGCAGTTCTAAGCAGCTTTATAAAATTGGCAGCATGATCGCATCTCCTGAATGCTGACACTTATTCAAAAGTACAGCCTGTTGTCTAAAATGCAAAGCATTACATATTTAAATGTCATGATATTTGTCATTTGGGCCCTGTGTACCTCAGTTTCAAGGTAGGAACTTTTCAGATTTTTAGTAGAAGGTCATTTTGAAGTGACACTTGTTATCTTAAGTCTACTTACTCTGTCACCCACCCCTAAATTCAGTTGTCCCTCTTTGCCCAGAATGTTCTCTATACACATAGAACTGTGTAAGCTGTGTAATGTAACTCTGTCTTGTGAAAGATTCTACATGAACAGCTATGCTTATCTATAGTGTTGATGTGCTGGTCTCTAAATTTGATTTCAGTCAAAAAGAATATCCGCTAAGGATGCCTTAGCCCACCCCTACCTAGATGAAGGGAGGCTAAGATACCACACGTGTATGTGTAAGTGCTGCTTTTCCACCTCGACGGGAAGAGTCTATACCAGTGACTTTGAGCCTGTCACCAACCCCAAATTTGATGATACCTTTGAGAAAAACCTCAGCTCTGTCCGACAGGTTAAAGGTGAGTGCATTTTGACACCCATTCATACACAGTGACCAGTGACATCTTCGATTAAATAGCAGAGATCCAGAGTCAAGGCTGCCCAATATCTATTTTCAGCTGTGCATGTAGCTGTCTATGCAGAGCGTGTATGTATGTGCGTGCATGCGTGCGTGTGCGCGCATGTGCAAGAGCGTATGCAAAGAATGGTGAGTTATCGTTATTTCCAGGGGAAGTTTAGTCAGAGGAATGAAGACTCTGTTTCTGTTCCAAATTGTAATGAGTCTGACTCAAAATATATTGTATCTGTATTTACCATGTCACTTCATTAAGTAAAATGTATTGGACTTCTTTATGTGTAACAGTTGACATTTTTTTCAAAAAGTAAAAGTCCACTAAAGAGAATGGTGATGAGAAAAGGGAATTCGATTATTTCCTCGTAAAGTTCTGCTGAGGATTGTCCCTGCAGTAGAGCTTGAGGTGATCCTGGATTTAGAAGACTTGTCCCATGGCAGGTCTTCCCATTGGTGGAGCTTCCAGCCTGTGCAGTGCCTCCGGGGAAATTTTTGTCTGCTTGTAGCAACAACCATCATTTTGGCTTCAGAAAAGTAGAACTCGATTTGGACTGATAAAGGGTGTGTGTGTGATTTAACTAGCCCAGCAGGCCATTGTGTTCAGACGCTGGCTGCCTCAGCTGAGAATCCACACTTCCAGCCTGTGTGTCGGCAGTGGAGTGGACGGTGTTTGTTTTCTCCACAGAAATCATCCACCAGTTCATTTTGGAACAGCAGAAAGGAAACAGAGTGCCTCTCTGCATCAACCCGCAGTCTGCTGCCTTTAAGAGCTTTATTAGGTAACTATGTCTGCACAACTCTCACATCTCAGAATTAAAGGAACAGTGCTGTGATTGTGTTACCCAGCCTATTTTTGGTGGTTTGAGTTTTTTAACCCTTTGCTTTGCATGTATGTATATATGTGGGAGTCAGTTCCCTTTTCATGAATCATGTGTATTCATGGGATCAAACCTAGGTCATCATGGTTGGTGACTGGTGACAAGCACTGTATCTTGCTGAGCCATCTTGCTGACCGTTTGTTTGTTTGTTGTTTGTGGGTTTTGTTTTTTCCAAGACAGGGTTTCTCTGTGTAACAGCTCGGCTGTCCTGGTATAAAGTTGGTAAACCAGGCTGGTCTCTGCCTCCTGGGAGCTGGGGTTATAGGCACCTGGCTTTGTTTGTTTGTTTGTTTTGTTCAACAGGAGCTGGGCATGATATCACATGCCTGTCATCCCAGCACTTAAGAAGTGAAGCAGGGAATTCAAGGCCAGCCTAAGCTACATAGTGAGTTCAAGCTTAGGCTACATGAGACCACAGCTCCAAACAAACAAAAAATGTTCAATAGGAAATTGTTGTAAATGGAGGAAGCCTTTATCTTCATCTTGTGGTGCCGTCTCACTGCTGAGAGTGTGATCTCAGGTCGGCCACCTTCCCACCCTCTTGATAACACAGCCAAGGGTTCTGTGAGAGGGCTTGATCTTTATTGCTTATTTGTTTGTTAGTTTATTTGTTTTGTCATTTTGGTCTGGGTTTTTACTGGGTGAGCCCAAGCAAGCTAGTCTTGGTCTTGAGATCCTCCTGCCTCAGCACCATGATCCAGACCTGTACTCCACCTGACTCTGTCTTTGTTGTATATTTATGTTTTGTCTTGTTTCGTTGTCGCTTTGAGACAAGGTCTCACCATGTATCCCAGGCTGCTCTCCTATTCATCTTCCTGCCTCAGCCTCCTGTGTCAACAAGCCTGGATGGGTTGGTTGGGGGTGAGATGGGGTAGAGAGAAGAAGACAGGTAGATGATTCCTATCTAGAGGAGCATCCGGGATGCTCAGCAGACAGCTATGAGTCCACTTTGGATCCTAGCAAGCCTCATTCTTTTTGTCTCTTTCCCTTGTTCCCAGTGGAAAGACAGAAACCACTTTAACAATGTGGGGAGATTTTAATACTAGGGGTTACTAACCAGGAGAGGACATCTACCTTCTGAAGAGCATGAAAGTAACTCCAGCTCCCAGGGGTGGGGATGGGCCTTGAAGTAGCAAATGCAAAAGGCTGCAACCAGTATGAACCAACAGAGAAAAACAAGGAAGAAATTGAACTCAGAGTTCCCTCCCCCAGGAGCCTTTTTGGAGAGGGTCTGCATTTGCAGACGCACACACAGCATGAGCAGGCAGGACAGGTACCAAGGTGGATAAAACTGGCCCATCAGAGGGACGCAGAGCTTGAGTGAATGTGGCCAGAAGCAGGAAGGGACGCTGTTGCCTGATGCTCCAGCCTGCAGCGCCCTCCTGTGCCCTCTTTTGACAAATATGATATGAAGCCAGGTAGCAAAGGAGAACCTCAAGCAGATCTGGCTCCTGTTTTTATGACAGGGCAAAGGGTGGATTTGAGCTTGAGGCCACTGTCTGCTTCCCACCCCCACTCCTACCCCGACCTTTCTACCCCGACCTTTCTCTCTTTCCTTTTCCCGAATTGAAGTAGGGCCTTGCCTGTATTGAAGCTGTTGGACCAAATTCAAGAATTGTGTGTGAAATAAGTAAAATCAGTTGTCTTTCATTCTCTCAGGTCCCCCCCTCCCCACAAACACACATGAAGAAAGATCACATTAACTTGCATTTTAACTGACTTTGCTGTGGTTTTGGGTTACTTTGTTTAATATTTTCCCAGAAGAGTCAGTGACCCAGGTGATTAGGTGTTCTAGCAGCTTCCAGGTGCTAGTCATTGTTCTCCTGGGCTCTGGGAGGGAAAGTGATTATCATTCCTTTCTAATTAGCAACCCTAGACTCCTCGGGGGACTAACTAGTACCAGGTCTGTGATAACAATTGCTAGGCCCTGACTCATCAGCACCAGCAATGCCCAGGTGAGAATGCTCACATGGCCTCTTCACGTAGAACCCCCCACTTGCTGACACTATTTTGAGAGGTACTTCTTAAGGGCATTTTCCTGATTGGATAGGGATAATGTTATTTATAATAGCTACCACTTACTTTACATCATGAAGTAGGCTCCATGGAAAACACTGTGCATATATTTTCCACATTACAGCAGGTAAACTGCAGGGTCCTTCCCGCTCCCCACCAAATACCATGGCCCTCTCTTGCCCCTGTGTAAATCACTGAAAGTTAATGCCTCACTCTGGATAACAGATCTCTAAATGAATGGTTTGCAAGCAGCTCAGTGTAGAGAGGTTAAAGCAACAGAACAGAAAGTGCAGAAATGCCCTGTGCAGACCCATCCAAATTGAGGGCTACTGGGCAATAAGTGGAGCTGCCCTCTCCCTCTCTGATGTGCCACTGACTCTGCGGTTTCCCTTTTCTTCCAGTTCCACCGTCGCTCAGCCATCTGAGATGCCACCGTCTCCTCTGGTGTGGGAATGACAGTGGAAGACACTGTACTACTGAAGATGTAATGTAGCTTGCACTGGAGCCTGGGATTTGCAATTCTGGAGGGTTAATCATGCTTGTACTGTAATTTTACTAATGAAGTTTTAAATTAACAACCACTACTTGTATGATATGAATAATATTTAGAAATGTTACTAGACTTTTAATCTTGTAAAGTGGTTGTGCTTTTAGAAGAAAAAAAAATATTTTACCCAGAGTTGCACATGGTTAAAGAATTCAGTGCAGCTGTTATGGCTCGCCTCAGAACAAATGAGAATTGAACCAAATTTGGACGTTTGGGGTTTATGTTTTGTTTTTTGTTTTGTTTTGTTTTTATGAAGTGAGATTGTTCACATGTACACATACACACACACACGCACAGACGACAGTCATACATTTTGATATTTGAGCCATTCCTAAAGATTTGGGGTTTTCTAAAACTAAAAAGTCTAGAAAGCTTGCCTGTGACCAATCATGGAGCCACGTGAGCTGATCTTGGCTGCACTGGGGGAAGGGGAGAGGGGGCATGCCACCTAATGATCAAGTCCTATAGCGGCTTCTCATTAGAGCCGTGATGGTGATGTGTGCTGTCTGAACTCCAATGTTGTGCATAGAGAGACTGGATCTGACTAGGAGAGACTAACCCTGTTTTCCTTATCCGGTATAAATATATATATATATATATATATTTAATCTATTTTTATTAGAAGTTTTTCTGCTCTTTCTTACATAAAAAAAAAAAAAAAGACCCAAGCATGCATCTTTCATGTGTGTAAATAATTCATTTCTGGGCTAATTTCAAAAGAATCCCAACACTGCTGTATAGAGAGAACTAGCTTGCACATTTTAGGTCTGTGAAATTCTGTGAGACTTTTCCTGCACTGGACAGTGAGAAATAATAAATAAAAGACAAAAAGAAATTTAAAAAACATTAAAGCCACAAAGGCACATAGGGAATCATGTCAAATGTGTTTGTGTCCTTAGGCAAAGCTGTGGGAGTCTTGAAATGTCACAGTAGTAAATAGCTTATTACTTTTTGACAAATTCTTTTTCCTGCTGGAACACTGAACTCTGTGCATATGTAAATACGAACACCAATCGAAGGCCTCTACCTCCTGGAGTTACACAACTTGGCTTGTTTACCTCCACACGCTGATGATGACTATTTTTTTTTTTTAAGTTCAATGTGGAGACTTGAAACTTGAATGTCCCTTCCAACTTTTATATTAAAAATAAAAAGACAAGAAAATCGAAGAACGTTTTTCACCTGTACAAGGAGTACTAATGAATCGTCTTAAAAGTGGTCTAGGAAAAATCTTGGTGTGTGTTATGGACAATGAACTGTTAAAGTTATTGTAAGTTATCTGTATGTAGCAGAGTATTTTCATCTTGACCAATCTGAGCTGAATCTGAAGACTATTAAGTTATGTTTAGAAGTTTTAACTTCAATGAAGTAATTATTTGCTGTGAAACAAACATTGAATTACTAAACAAAGATGGTGCAATATCTTTGTTTTTGTTTTTGTTTTTGTTTTTTTATGAGGCTCCTGAGAATCAACCCAGCTGAAGCATTTCAATTCACTTGAATGAGAAACATGTTTAGTTCAAAAGAGCCCAAGAAGACACTGGTATGAAAGGTACAACCTCAGAGGTTGGTCGGTTACCGTGGCACACTTTCTGGTCACTTTGTACAATGTAGATTTGAAGTACAGTGGTGAAAGCATTAAATGTGACATTTGAAAATGGTGTGTTAATGTCTTATTTCCACCCTTCCCTTTGTTTCTCTTCAGCCTTTGTCCTGACTTGGAAAAAACTGAAGACATGTGCTTACATTTCCACACGTAACTTCGAGGAAATTATTTGTTTGTTTTTAATTCTTCCCAGAAACTTAAGATTGTCAAGAATATATCGGAAGCTCAGTTAAATGACACCAGAGACAGCGTGGTCCAATTATGTACAATATGGATGTCTTGTTTTCATGTAGGATCGAACACGTTAAATAAAAGTAGATTGCTGTGGGTAAAGCAGACTAATGAAGATATACGACCTTCCCTCCTCCTTTCTGTCCCCTGTCCCTAGAAGCCCTGGTCACTAAGGAGGAAGGAAGTCAGGGCAGTGTAATTCAGACCAGAAACCAGACTGTTTAATTTTCTCATATGTGTCCTGAGACTGAACAAAATAATACCATGATATTATTCTTTTTGCCTGTGCGGGCCTTGAATTCAGTGTGTAGCCAAGTGTTACCCCACCCCCTGAGACAAGGTCTTTATGTGTAGCATTGACTGTTCTGGAACTCACTGTGTAGACCGGGAACTCAGAGATCTCCTGAGCACTGGGATTAAAGCCATGTGCCACCTCCGCCTGGCTGTGGGGCTGAGCCACCTCTCCAGCGCCACTCTCTTTTTTGTTTCTTTGATTCATTGGTTGTCTGAGACAAGTTCTCATTATCTAAGCCAGTTTGGCCTGAACTCATAGATCCCTCTGCCCCTGCCCCGCCTCCCCCGGGGGCTTGGAGTAGTGGTGCAAACCACACCACACCTAGCTCTACTTATTTTTGCTGTCTGGCTGTAACCCTGAGATTTGGCCATTCTGTCTTTTCCATCTGGTGGGAAGAGTGATTGAACTGGGGTCATCGGGGTTGCATGCAGACACCTGGACCTGTTCACCTCTTTCACCAGCCTTTATTAGTCTGAATGGTACATTACATTATATGTTCAGATTGTCCAGTTGTCCTCCAAATTTCACCTAGAGGTGTTTTCCCCGAATCCAGGATCAAGGATCTTACCTTATATTGGTTTTCTTTTTAGTGCTAGTAGAAAGGCATCGAGCCAGGCAGTGGTTGCACACACCTTTGGTCCCAGCACTCTGTGAGTTCAAGGCCAGCCTGGTCTACAGAGTGAGTTCCAGGACAGGTTCCAAAGCTACACAGAGAGACTCTGTCTCAAAAAACCGAGAGAGGGAGAGTGAGAGGTAGGCATTGAGCTAGGCTGGAGCAATACAGTGGTTAAGCACACTAACTGCTTTTCCAGAGGTCTTTAGTTCAATTCCCAGCACTCACATAGCAGCTCACAGCTGTCTATAACTTTTCCAGTGGGATCGATGCCCACTTTGGATGTACAGCTAAAACACCCATATACACACATACACACACACACACATATCTGTAGAATGGTGGGAGCACACACCTTTAATCTTAGCACTCAGGAGGCATGTGGTTCATTGTAAGTTTGAGGCTCACAGAGCTAGTTCCAGGACAGCCAAGGCTACACAAAGGAACTTTGTCTCAGGAGGGAAAAAAAGCAAATCTCAACAAATAAAATTTTTAAAAATGGCAGGGCCAGCTGTCATGGAAAAAGATAGGCAAAGATCTATATAGTCAGTTTGTTTCCTCAGGTTTAGATATCAGTTAAACACTTTTGGAAAAACTATCAGCCTTGTGTGTGTTAGTGGCTATAAATAGCCACACATTCCCTCCTTGGGAATGTGTGAGCCTGTTGCCTATAAAGGTTGCTCTAAGAAACCTCGGAGACAATTTTCTTGTGTCTGTTCGTGTCTCTGATTTCAGTGTTGTCCCCTCTCCCTAGTCCCATGGGTATGTAGGGTGCCTTTGGGAGACCCCAGGGCACAGTGGCCAAGTCATGTCCACCCACACCAAACTACAGAATAAGGAACATGTGATTGAGACCCTGCCTAGAGCAAGCTCAAGTTCCTTGACCACTAGAGGATCTGTGTCTCGGAGAAGTGGGGCTTCCCCAACTTTAATGCAGATAAATTTGAAGACATAGTAGCTAATAGATGTGGAATCAAATATATTGCCAGTTATGTTCAGTAATAAATCGCACATCCAATGGAGGGTTTGTGTCTTATGATTTTTTTTAAAGATGCTATGAGTGGTTTGTTCCCATTCCATTCCATCAAGAGGCACAAACAACTGTCTTATTTTGGGTGATAGATAATTTGTATGATCATGAGATCAACATTGATTACCAGAGGCTTGCACTGCACAAAAGACCCTTCTTCCCTTATAGTAACTAGCTGTGGAAGAATTTGTGTTGGTTTTTCTGAGGCAGAGTCTTGTGGTGTGCAGGCTGGACTCAGACTTGTTATGATGGAGTGTGTCTTTGAACTGGAGATCTTCCAGGCTCCACCTCCAAGCACTGGAATTGCACTGGGTACCATACTCATGTAGAGAAATATTTTATTCTTCAGCAGATGGTATACAGTGGCATCTGTCAATAATCTTTGCCCCATTATTTGCTACTAGTTGGGAAATAATTTAATATTGTTGTCATTCATTCTGCACACCTTTTTCTAAGAATTGAGCAGATTTGATGAGAGTCATCAAAATCTTGTAGGTAGGAAAATGCCCCTATCAGGAGATTATGGCTTCATGGAATGCAGCTAATCTGGATTTCCAGCCTCGTGCCCCCCCCCCCCCCAGTGACAAAATGTGATCAGGTATCTCAACAACCTTTAAAAGAAGGAAAGAGACTGGAAGGTGTGTTGCCACCTCCAGGCCAAGGTCAGAACTATGTCACTCCTCTGTGCTCTCCTTTTCCTTACTTCATGGCCACCAGGCTTTGACCATGAAGAGCACTTGGCCACCAGAGGTAAAGCCAATCTGTTTTGATCAAGCTTAAATAGAACATGGCCATATCTACTCATTGTCCCATCCATGACTTCATTCACACAAAGGCAGAAGAGTAGCCTGGATAGAGGCTGGCCAGCAAAGCCTGAACTGCTTATATTCTGGATGTGTATAGAAGCTAATGGGGCCAGTGGTATGGCTCAGTGGATGACAATGCCTGCCACCAAGCCTGACAACCTGAGTTGGATCCCTGTGGTCACCTGGGTTAAAAGAAAGCATTGACCCCCTCTCATGTGTACCCACATACGCACACACAAAGTGAATAAATAAAAGCTGGGCTTGGTGACACACAGGGAGGCCTGAGGATCTCTGATGTCTACTGCACAAAGAAGCATCTCTGATGAGGTCTGAGAGCTGCACTGATCCATGAACATAGAGATACTATGTCCATGTAGCAGAATAGTAGTAGTAGTAGTAGGTTCTCCCCTGAGGCATGTGAGCTCCTCAACCATGGACTCTTGAATAAATTTACAGTACTAGGCATGTTTCTTCCTGTGGAACAGGCCTTAAATCTAATAAGGAAATGGTTGGTTATCCCAGAACATGCATGCCACTGTTGTATCCATTGACATATCTTGCCACACTGGCATTGCTACAGCTCACAGGGTTCTCAGTTGGGTAATTACTACTCTCCCACCTCCTGGTAGCTGCCCATCACCTTATGGTACTGTGACAGCTAGCCTCTAAGGAGGTTGCTTCCCGGTCAGTATCATCTTGATTTCTTCATGTCCTGTGGCCAAAGTGTGTGTCTTCAGCAATAGTCTTACCATCAAGTTCTGGTGGACAACCCAGAATACAGGAATAAATAGTCTGTATTGTTTTGGGGAATCTCAACACCCCTAAAGATATATCTGAAGGGAAGGTATCCCATAGCTAGCAGTAAGCTTATTTGGCAACATATGGCTTCTTACCCCTGTGTAAGGTAACTTCAATTAAACTCTATTTTATGAATGCAAGTATGTTTGGGTCGTTTGTTTGTTTGTTTTTGAGTCAGGGTCTCACTTTGTATCTCTGCCTGGCCTGGAATTCACTAAGTAGACCAGGCTGGTCTTGAACTCATAGAGATCTGTCTGCCTTTGACTCTCAAATGCTGGAATTAAAGGTTTATGCCACCATGCTATGCTTAATATGTATGCTTATACATTTAAGAAGCTTATGAAACAGTAGGCTTCCGTGTGGCGTTTTCAAACATCCTTAGTATTGGTTATCCCTCTCCCAAACTCCTCCCCTGCTCTCCCCTTCCTCTTCTTCAGGGAACCCTCACTTTCCATTATTTCTTTACCCCTTCACTCCACCTTTAAGCTCAGGGACCATTGGGAAACAGTGGCTGGAAAGATTGTAAAAGACAGAGATTGGGGAGTACCAGAGGAATTTTTAGTGTTTTTTTTGGGGGGGGGTTTATTGTTGTTTTGCTTTGTTTTGTTTTATTTTTCAAGACCAGGTTTCTCTGTGTAGCCTTGACTGTAGACCAGCTGTCCTCGAACTCACAGAGACCAGCCTGCCTCTGCCTCCCTACTATGGGATTAAAGGCAAGCACCACCACAGAAATCTATTTTCTGGACATGATAGGACCACTGCACATAAATTCACAGCACTGTAGTTGCTGCCACATGATCAAGCTACCCAACATTCCAGCATGGAGTGGGAAGGAACTCATGATGCCCCAACCTTGCTGAGGCACTATTGACAGCTGGTGGCTTCTAGAAGGAAAATCAGTTTTCTTTAAGAGTGTGGCACTTACCATCACCTGCCAGGGGCTTTAATCTCAGGCCAGCCTGGTCTACAGAGCAAGTTACAGGACAGCCAGGGCTACACAGAAAGACCCTGTCCCAAAAAACAAAAGTGTGACTCCTGGTTGGAAGACTACAGTCCAATGAATGGACGCACACATAGTTGTGTGTGTGAACACACTCATTTGTGTATATGGTAAGCACAATTGGTGAGCTATAAAAAAAATGGGGGGGTCATGAAGTTGGGAGTGACTGGGATAGATCATAAAGAATGGGCTAAGTTCACCTCCACCACCAAAAGGTAATCAAAACCCATGTACTTTGAAAATGCCTAATGCTGAAAACGAGGTGACACTCAACTTTAATCCCAGCCCTTGGGAGGCAGCAGGATCTCTGAGTTCAAGACCATCCTATTCTACATACTGAGTTATAGGCTAGCCAGAACTTCACAATGAGACCAAGAAAGAAAGAAAGAAAGCTACATTAGAGTGTGGAGCTCAGTGGTAATGTGCTGTTTGATGAGTAAGAGGCCTCCTCTGCCTCCCTGGTGCTGGGACAACTGGATTTAAAGGCAGGTACCACCAGGCCCTGGCTAATGCAACTTTCAAAGCCTAACTCCAGAAGAGCTAAGGACAAAATAGTTTTGTCTTTCAGGGTTAGCTCCTGCTGGCTCTGCCCATCTGATCACACACACCAGGAGATGACAGCTAAAGGCCAGCCCCAGCAGACTGGTAAAACCATGGGGCTCGGGATGGTTCTCAGTCTCCTGCATGCCCAACGCCAAATCTCCAGCATTGGCAGGATCATAGCTCTGGTCTGATGGCTGTCCTTTGGTGTTGTTGAGTGCCTGCCCCATAGTTTCATTTTGAGTTATGAGTCATCTGTCAATGTGAGCCACAGCAGTTTTCCAGGGCTCATCATTTTCCAAAGCACCGGAACCTCTTGAACCAAATCTGATCTTACACCATGTTACTTCTGAGTGATACTACAGGACAATCTGCATGGGGCAGAGAAGGGTTTATGGAGAACATTCCCAGGCACATGCTCAAAGTGGGAAGGGACAAACAGGTGGTGGTGCCATTAAAGTGAGGTAAATCATGGGTGACCAGCACCTGAGCCTTAAAATACACAAGGAAGGGATGGAGGAGGCATGCCAGTTAAGAGGAGGGCAGAGGGAACAAGGACAGAGAGGCAAGTTCTGCAGTTTCAGACCATGAGCAAAGAAGCCAACTTAGCCTGGTCTACAGAGCAAATTCCAGGATAGCCAGAGCTACAAAGAGAAACCCTGTCTCAAAAACAAACAGGCTGGAGAGATGGTTCTGCTGTTAAGAGCACTGGCTGCTCTTCCAGAGGAACTGAGTTCAATTCCCAGCTCACAACTGTCTGTAACTCTACTTCCAGGGGATCTGACACTCTCACACAGCAGTAATAAAATAATTTTTAAAATAGTTAAAAAATATTAAAACAAAAGCAAACAAACCTTTTAAAAAAGAAAAAAAAAGAGCCAGGTGTGACTCGCCTTTAATCACAGCACTCTGGAGGCAGAGGCAGGTGGATCTCTGTGAATTGGAGGCAAACCTGGTCTATATGAGTGAACTCCAGGACACCCTGTGCTACATAAAGAGACCCTATTTTAAAAAAGAAGAAGAACAATCTGCTCTCCCACTAAAGGAACCGAAAACAGGGCAGTGGCTGGCAGTGGAGGTGTTACTTTGGACAAAGGGCCTTTATTGAACCATTTGGCCTTGGACTCTTTATCTACAGATAACAAACGCGGCTGGGTACATTGCAGCTACAGGGGCAGCTGCGCACTTACTGTGCTCCCCAGGTAGAAACCTGCTTGAGGCCCCACCCTTGTGAAGGTGGAAGCCACAGTTAGAATGGAATACAAGCCTCTGCACTACTCAACTTTACAGGCTGCCGCCACTCCTTAGGTCCATTCCAGGTGTTGGGGAGAGGGCACACTGTGCCACGCCCATAAAAAAAAAAAAAAAAAAAAAAAAAAAAGATTTACTTATTATGTAGTGTTTTAAAGTCTGTATGCCTGCCTGCAGGCCAGAAGAGGGCACCAGATCTCATATCAGATGGCTGTGAGCCACCATGTGGTTGCTGGGAATCCAACTGAGGACTGCTGTGGAAGAGCAGCCAGTGCTCTTAACTGCTCAGTCATCTCTCCAGCTCTACCAAGCCCTTTTCTGAATGTAGCTGGGTACAGTGGCCTCCACCTGGCCAGGCTTTTCCTGGGCCCTGGGCCTGGTCTGAAAAGAACTGCAAACCTTGTGGAAAAGGAGCTGAGGGAAGGCCTGAACTAACACCAGTCCCACCATTATTAGAGTCTGAGGCTGGAGGCAGGGGCCACTCTCGCTTGTTACTTCATGACCTGGATAAACACTGAGTCTGTTTCCTCACGAGGAGTTGGCCTTCTGAGGACTTCACATCCACACAAATGGTCTGGAGATGGGAGGAAGGGAAGGGGTCTGCGCTGGGGTGGGGGGGGGAACAGCTTTCCTTTAAAGCCTTATTTCAGACACTCTCCCCACGTGGTCTAAAGTTCCTTTGTACTTGCCTTTTGTTTGGGGTTTGTTTCTGTTCGTTTTTGTTTTAGAAAAACTTTCTTGGTGCATCTCTACCCGGTTCTGGACACTGAACGTTCGTTCATTCTCTGACCCGAGGGCCTGGGCAGGCCAACCTGGGAGTAGAAACGTGCTCAAATGGTGATCTCTGCAGACCTTTCTGGCTTCTGTTTTCTCTCTCTCTACACTCCTCACTGTCCTCCACACCCTCAGCAGTCACCTCAGAACCTGGCACCTGGCTTTGTCTAGGGCCTAGCTTCCCCCACTGCACAGGCTGTTCGCTTTCCCACAGTTCTTGAAGCCAGGTCACCAGCCTCCCTGCTCCCCAAGGCCACGTCTCGGCCCTCACCTGCCTTCCTCTGTTACTGCCTTGTGGCAGGCACTAAGTGCTCTGTCCGTGTGCCACATCTCTTTTAAAGCTGTCTGGCCAGGCCTTGAAGGAAGAGCATCCCAAATTCCTGGCCAACCGACATCCTCAGCAGGGCCTAAACGATTGGCCTTGCCACTTTCTCCCGTCACTGGTGCCCTGCCTCATCTCTCCCTGCCCTCCTTGGGTCCCACCCCTGATCACTTCAACCACACTCATCCAACCCCTCCAATCGCCTTTGTCTTCCTGACCACCCCCTCCCTGATGCCTCCAACGCCCTTTTCCTGAGCAGACCACACACTGGAGGAAACAGCCTAGGAGACTGGGGTCTCCAGGTCAAGGGACACCCACTTCAGCGTTGCCAACCCTTGGGGCACACCCTACTTCCTCCTCTGGGGGGCAGAAACTTTGAACCCATTTATACATTTATTTTTTATTTTTTTTCTGAGACAAAGTTTCTCTGTGTATAGTCTTAGCTGCCTAGGCTGGCCTCGAACTCAGACATCTGCCTACCTCCGACTCCTGTGTGCTATTATCAAAGGCATGTGTGCCATCACCATCCAGCCCATTTAAACATCTTAGTCTTCTTCATTGAAATGAGCATGCTGGGGTGAGCATGGTGCCGAATGACTTTAATCCCAGCACAGGGGAGGCAGAGGCAAGGTGCATTTCTTTGAGATCCGTACTAACTTGGTCTACACAGCCAGTTGCAAGCCAGGCAGGGCTGTCTAAATAAATACAAATAAAAGAAGGAGGACATATTGGAGGCATGACCAGCAGTCTATACTCCTTGACTCTGTTTCCCCAGCCCCTGATTCATTGCTCCCAACTCTTGGGTGCTGGCTGGCGGGCGCCACCTAGTGTTGCCTGAGACTCGGCTGCTCCAGTCCTCCCTGTGACCATTCTCTTGTCATCCCTCCCATGACCCCCGAGGTTGGAGCTTCTGTTTCTTTAAGATAGCTTAAAATGCTCTTTGCTCTCCACCCTTCAACTCACTTCGAAAGCTGTCTTACAAATCTAGTCACCAGGTTCACCCAGATGTTGCAGCCTGCTCAAGGTCTGTTTTTTTGTTTTTTTTTTTTTGTTTTGTTTTGTTTTTGTTTTTGTTTTGGCTTGAGATAGGGAGGTTATCCCTGGCTGGCCTAGACCTCACAGAGATCCGCCCACGCCCGCCCGGCCCTGGAAGGGGTTGGTGTGAAATCGTGCAGGTGACAGAACCTAGGACTTCTTGGGTGCTAGGCAAGCGCACTATCACTTAGCCAATACCCATGTCCTAACATTGCTCACTGTCTGCAAGCCCAAACTAATTTCCGTTGAAGCCACTTTCCGTGTCCCCTCTTCTCAGCGAATGGCAGCTCCCATCTTGTCCCAAGCCTAGCAGGACACAGATTAAATCTGCGGACTGGACAGTCATTTTTGGAACCAGCACGAAGGCGAGGCTCGCGGCGCTCTGGCTCCACAGGCCGCAGGTCCGGGTGCGGAACAGAAAGAAGCAGCACGCAGCCTACCGCCGTACACGCTCACCCGCCAACGTGGATGGCTCGAGTCCCGCCCCGTCGCGCGGCGCTCCCAGCAGCCAATGGGAGCAGTTGGGAGGCCGTCGCTCAAACTACAGCCCGGTAGGCAATGGGCGGGCCCTGTGGACCACCGCCCACTCGCGCGCCGCTTCATGCGCCCTCGACCAATGGGCGCGGCTCGCGTGGGCTGGAGGCGGGTCAGCGCGGCCCACAGCGCGAGCGCTGGGCTTCTTCCCACGTCGCGGGCTCTCGGCGCAGGTGTGTCAGCCTCGTCCCAACTGACGGCACCGAACATGGGGGCCCTGGCCGCCAGGCGCTGCGTCGAGTGGCTCCTGGGCCTCTACTTTGTCTCTCACATCCCCATCACGCTGTTCATCGACCTGCAGGTGGTGCTGCCGCCAGAACTGTACCCGCAGGAGGTGAGGGTTCAGGGTCTCCGCGTGGTCGTCGCGGTTCCCGTCGGCTTGGTGCCAGACTTGGTCCTAGGCCGGGTGTCACACAACGCTTTGTTCCTCCCAACCAAGTGGTAGGGCGCATGCCTAGCACTCAGAAGGTCCTGGGTTCGAGCTACATTTATTCGCCAAACCTTTGCAAACCCTTTGTTCTCTGCGTGTGTTCCGCTCCCACACTTCCACCTCAGGCGGGTGGCCAAGGGAAGTTGCCTGGCCGAACCAGTGTCTGTCACCTGTGGGACTTAGTTAAAGTTGTGTTTGGATGGGCTTTAAAAGTCCAATGTGATCCCGAGAGAAAAAGCCCGAATAGAATCAAGCCTGTCTGAAGGCTTTGGCCCTTGGTTAGAGTGCTCCGTGGTATTTATACATAACTCCTTCTGGGTCTGGATCTGGCATTAGCGGTGAAGAAATGCTGCCTTTTCAAGTATGCTGTTGGAGTTGGGTTGAATGTGAGCTGCATTCTTTGATCCAATCTTCCTCCGCGCTTTATCCGAATCTGTAACCTTCCAGAGAATTTCTGCATGCTTCGCCAAACTACGGGTGGAACTGTAGGCAGGACTGACTTGTCCACCTAAGATTTGATCTGCTAGGTGCTGGTGGCGCACACCTTTGATCCCAGTGCTGGGAAGCAGAGGCAAGCCGGTCTCACTACTCTCAAGAACTGCATTTGTTTCCTTCATAACTAATAGTCCCGGTCCTGCCCACCACTCCTCCAGACAACTAAAATTTAACCAGTATCATACAGACCACCAGTTAAACATTTGTTTTTCGAGATACTGTAACTCAGTATCTAGACGTCGCTGGCCTCGAACTCAGAATTTCCCTGTAACTGCCTCCCAAATGCTTAATTCAAGGTTTATTGTCAATATGCCCAATCTCATATCTGATCTGATGAACATTTTAAAGATTTATTTATTATGTATACAGAGTTCTGACTGCATGTATGCCTGCAGGCCAGAAGAGGGCACCAGATCTCATTACAGATGGCTGTGAATCACCATGTGTTTGCTGGGAATTGAACTCAGGACCTCTGGAAGAACAGTTACTGCTCTTAACCTCCCAGCCCTCTGCTGAACTTATCGGCTTTCAGGCTAGGGATGTAGCATTGACCATGTGTTAACATGCACATGGTGCTGGGTTTCATGTCTAGCCCTTTTATCTCTGTCCTCCCTTTTTACATCTTTGGAAATTGTGTGTGTGTGTGTGTGTGTGTGTGTGTGTGTGTGTGTGTACATGCTGCAATGCCTGTGTGGAGGTCACAGGCAATTTGTAGGGTCAGTTCTCAGCTTCCAACTTTATAGCAGTTCTAGATAGTGAATTCGGTTGTCAGGTCTGTGCATCAAGCACTTTATCCACAGGAACATCTTGCCTTTTTAATGTCCTGACCAAAAAATGGGGGTCTGTGTTGTTGGTTATTAAAGGCATACGCCTGGGGTACCCTGCCTTGGAAGGCCCATCCCCTTCTTCCTTCTGGTTCTTTTAGATGGAAAGTGATGGTTTTGTTGCTTCCTCATGGAGAAAACAATGATCTGTGAACTTAAGTCAGTCAGAGATTGTCTTGAATGATACCTGAATTTAGAACTGGTTTGGTGGCACTCAGGAGGCTGACACAAGGATCACTGAGTTACAGGCCAACCTAGGCTACATAGCAAGACTGTCTCTAAAACAAACAGCAAAGCCCAAATTTACACCCCCAAAAGAACAAGTATAAAAAACTAAAACTTATTATTATCAGGGGTTTTCCCCTAAAAATGTGGAAGGCCTCAGTGGGTGGGCTGGATTTTGCAGATTGAACTTTGTTGTTTGAATCAAATCACATGGGCTAAAAACCATTAAGAAAAAGTTAAAGACGTGAGCCTGGGTTCAAACATAAAGGAAAGGAAGCATTTTTGTAGTATCTCTTGCAACTGAGTGAACCAATTCTGTTAAAATAAGAAAAACGTGTGAGCTGGTAGATTGAAAAGCAGTTGGTTATAAGTCTAAATGGGATTCTGCAGGACTCAGTAGCAGACCAGTTCAGAAAGATGTGTTCCAGGTAGTATGGTGTAAATGGAAACTTTTCTTTAAAACCTTGGGGTGTAGGACTTAAGTGATCATGAGCAGTTACATGCTTAGATTTGGTAATGTTACCCTGGAGCATCTTTGGGTATGAACTAACCACACACACAACCCTTCATCTGTGTTAGCCAATGTTCTACAGGTCACATGTATTAATTCACTGCATCTGAACACAGCAGCAAGATAGGTCATCAGCACTGTTTTATTAGATGAAGAAATAGTATGCTGGTGTTAAGGGCCTTGCCCAGAGCCAAGCCCTTCTCTTCCAGCTCCTGGGACCTCATCCTTCCACCCACTCTGTCCAGGCTGTTCAGGCATCAGGTGGGTGATAGGCTCCTGCGACCTTTCTGCACTGTAGTACTGCATGTGTCTGTTTGGACCTGCGCAGGAGGCTGGCCTCAGATTGTTTACAGCAACATTCAGATGGGCCAAAATGCCTGTCAGTACTTTACTCTGAAGTAAATCTTGCCAAGCAAGATTGTAATGTGAAGCTGTGTGTGGTGCTGCTTGTCTGTAATAATCCCAACACCTGGGAAGCGGAGGAGCAGGAGTTCAAGGCCAGTCTCAGGTACAAGAGACCCTGTTCTCAAAACACCCCCCCCCAAAAAAAATGCACAGATGCCCAATTTACAGATGAGGAAATAGAGTCCAGAGAGGCTGACTTAACCTCCACTGTCCCTGCCTTCCTGATGCAGGAGGATGCAGAGGGTATTGCTGAAAATCCAGTTTCACATCAAAAAGCTGTGCCTGGTGCTGACGCCCTGGCCCTAGCACAGTCAGATTTCGGGTGCTTGCTTCGAAGCTCTCCTGGTAGTGAGGCCTCAGTTCCTCAGCAGCCAGCCTCTGTCTTTGCTGTTACTTGGATGTTTTATTTGTAGCCCAGACCTAGCCTCCAACTAGGCTAACCTTGAATTCCTGATCCTCCTGCCTCCACTTCCCAAATGCTGGGATTACACATCCATAGCCTTTATCTTTTAATTAGAAATTAACACAAAAAGTTTCCCTGAATTTTCCATTGTAAGCTAAACCCCTGGAGTTGAGTTGCCTTTATTCATCATATCCTTACACACTTAATTGGCTCTGAAGGTGAGTTCGTGTTATTTCCAGGCCCTTTTTTTTTTTGTTGTTGTTGTTTGTTTTTGTTTTTTTCCCCTTCTGGTTTTTGAGACAGGGTTTCTCTGTGTAGCTTTGGAGCCTGCCCTGGAACTGATTCTGTAGATCATGCTGACCTCAAACTCACAGAGCTCTGTCTGCCTCTGCCTCCTGAGTGCTAGGATTAAAAGAGTGTGACACCACCACTTGGCTAGGCTACTTTTTGTCATTTTGTTTCTTTTTTTTTTTTTTTTTTTTTTTTTTTTTTTTTTTTGAGACAAGCTTTCTTATAACCTCCTTAGCCTTAGCTCAAGTATGTAACTGAGTACCTTGCTTCAGGATGCTGAATTTGACAGGCCTTTGGTAGTATCACCCAGGCCAGGCCCCTAGGTTTCTGGCTCCTGTAAAGCACAGTGGGTAGCTGCAGGTCTCTGCCTCCCACTGCCTGTAACAAGGGTGAGGCTGGAGCTAGACCCAGACTGCTGACTCAGGCCTCACTAGAACACTGATGCTATGCACTTTGGGATAATTCCACCAATACCCAGCTGGTCTTCTAAAGAAAAAAATTGAAGAGAGTGAATGAAAATAAATGTATTTGTAATATTAAGATTGAAATGTCTCTAATGTCTCCACAGAGATATTACTTCCCTTCTACCTTTATCACCACCCACAACCCCCCCCACATCCCTCCACCCCACCCTACCAAGAAAATTCAACTGATTTCTGCATTGGAGGAATCTAAGTGTACAGTTGAGAAAAGGAAAATATCAAGATGGATTTTTCATTTCCTTGTCAACAAGTATTAGTAGAATGCCATTTGCACTTGGTAAACATCCCAAGAAGCTCCAATGAAAATTACTATAACTCTCCAGTTTGTGCTATCTCAGAGTTAGGAATAAATGCACAGTAGCACAGACTAGATTGGAAGAGCTCAAGAAAACTTACTGTGCTGAGAAGGTAACATTTGACTTATGACTCGTAAGTTTTTATTAATGACCATCGAGGCCAGTGTTTCTCAATCTGTAGGTCACAACCCCTTTGTGGTTGAGTACCAGATAACCTGAATATCAGATTTTTTATTTAATTTTTTTGGCTTGTCAACACAGGTTTTCTCTGTGGCTTTGAAGCCTGTCCTGGAACTAGCTCTTGTAGACCAGGCTGGTCCCGACCTCACAGAGATCCACCTGCCTTTGCCTCCCAAGTGCTGGGACTAAAGGCGTGGCCACCACCACCCGGCTGCATATTACAGTATGAAGCAGCATAATACAATATTTTTATGGTTGGGGATCACCACAACATGAGGGACTATATTAAAGTGTCACAGCATTAGGAAGGTTGAGAACCACTGGTCTAGATGTCATATAAACCAGCTGGTATGTCACCCCTGCCACCAGGGCTGCACAATGAGGGAGCCTATAGGTCACTTGGCAGCACTCACTAGGACCCTGTCTTTCCAGTTCAGCAACCTGTTGCGGTGGTACTCGAAGGAGTTCAAAGACCCTCTGATGCAGGACCCCCCAGTGTGGTTCAAGTCCTTCCTGTTTTGTGAACTTCTGTTCCAGCTGCCTTTCTTTCCTGTTGCTGCATATGCCTTCTTCAAAGGTTGGTAGTGTGGGAAATCTCTTGGAGGAGTGAACCCCTGTAGCTTGAAGGATATGGTATATATAGATGTCACGGAACATTAAATGCGGCTCAGCTGATGTCCTATAAGCTGGGCTGCCTCAGTTATCTAGAAATCCCTCATGATGTGAAACCTGAGGCCAAGGATAAACTTGTTCCTTTTAACCCACCATATACATACAGTTTCTTTTATCTGTGGCCTTAGGAGAGTAATTGCCTTATAAGCTGGAAGCATCAAGCCAATCCCTGAAGAGCTTAACTTCTCATTTAAAAATTATTCCTGGGGCTGGAGAGATGGTGCAGCAGTTAAGAGCACTGGCTGCTCTTCTAAAGGACCTGGGTTTGGTTTCCAGCACCCACATGGCAGCTTATAACCGTCTGTAAGTCCAGTTCCACAAGATCTAACACCCTCCTTTGGCCTCAGGGAACATTGCATACAACATGAATGCAGGGAAAAAAATAAGTTTTTAAAAAATGAAAGAAAAGAAAACCAGTGCCATGATATATTAATGCCCATCTTTGCAAACTAAGCTCATACAAGTAGGAAAGCTGGGATCCTATAGGCACGGGATCCAGCTGCTCTCTTGCCTGTGTGGACCCTTTATGGGTGCTGGGGTGGGGTCCCTCCCACTGTGTTTTAGATCAGACTGGTCAAGCTGTTTTGCTGCTCATTTCCTAAGCTAAATGCCAATCCTCACCGTCAGTGAGCTGGATTGGCTCCCAGCTATCACATAAACTTGCCTGTTGAGCTGGTAAAACATCCAGTTTTTCATGTGTGTAGTCTGACCTTCCATCCAGGAGGCAGAACCATTGAGCTGAGTGGGAGTAGACAAGCAGGGGTGGGGTAGAGCATGTCCCAGATACCCTGGGAGTCACCAGAGCTAAGTTTTAACCTAATTGTCCTTTTTTCTTCCTCTGCTTCAGGAAATTGCCGGTGGATCCGAATCCCTGCAATCATCTATGCAGTTCACACCATAACAACTTTAATTCCAATCCTCTATACATTTCTACTTGAGGATTTCTCCAAAGCTGTTACTTTCAAAGGACTTAGACCCGAGAATTTCCGTGAACGACTGACTCTCACAGGTGTCTATGCCCCTTACTTAATAATCCCCCTTATACTCCTCCTGTTCATGTTGCGGAACCCTTACTATAAGTATGAGGAGAAAAGAAAGAAAAAATAGGGGCCAGCCACTAGCCCGATGGGGGAAGATCCCATAGTACAGTTGCCTTTTGGACAATACTAGAAAAACTGCTCTGAACCCACGTCTCAGCAGCATTTGAAACATACCAACAGCAGTGCACAAGAACAAGATGGCGGCAAGACATGCCAAGCCCTCACCTTCCAAGGGCTGAACAGGCCATCAGCAGGGGTGGGGACCAGCAAGATGGTGCCACAGTTCTACTATAGCATTCCTAAAAATGGCCAGACAAAAAAAGCTGGTCAGCTAGAACACACACCTGAGTAACTCCTAACTCGATCTCTATGATAACTAGTCAACAAATTAGTGGGTGTTTCTGGCCACTTTAATATCACAAATTTTGTCTCTTTAAACACCCATGAAAAACTACCATGGTTTCCTGCCTATACCTCTACCTCTGGAAGAAAAATATTGTAGCCTCACAAGCCTAAGCCAGAATGGGCTACAGTTGGAAGATAACCATTTACAGTTCACCCTATCTTCCAGTTACGCTACTAGTACTTGTACTTCCCAACTCTGGCGTCTCATGACACTGAGCTCCCTACTAGACAGCTTTGTCCTCCCTCTCTGCCTGGTCCTTCCCATCCTGTTCAGAGTGGGGTAATAGTGTGACTGTTGCAGTGTGTCCGCTGGCTCTCCTTACAGAAACAAGATTGGTGGGTGCGAAGCATGCTGTTTTGCTTGCAAGCCATATTTCCCTGGTTATTACTGTCTGACTTGTGTGTATGGTCCAATAAAGGTAGCTGCTGATCACTGCCTGGTTTGTTGTATGGATGGGGGTTAGAACACTGAGTTCTCAAAGGGGCTGATAATGCACACAGCACCAGAGAAGGAAGACCACACCATTTGCAAATGGTATTTATTGCTTTTCATTGAGAGCTTTTTGAATTTACAAAACAAAAGAGTTTACAGGCTGCTTAGTTTGTGCTGAGAATGCTGCCGTGGCTGGGCACTGTTTACCAGGTGCCCCAGTTGGGAATACTGCCTCCTTTTCACACTGCCATGACATCAGTCAAGTCACTGGAATGGTACAGAGGTTTTGTTTGTTTGGGGTGGGTTTTTGGTTTTAGTTTTTTGGGGGTTTTTTTTTGTTTTGTTTTGTTTTTGTGTTTTTTGTTTTTTTTTTTGTTTTTTTTTTTTTTTTTGTTGTTGTTGGGTTTTTTTTTTTTTTTTGCCTTCCTGCTATAAATAATGAAAATTTCAGTTCATTTCTGAAAAATAAATTGGTCAATAAATTCATTTTGTTCTGCTTCTACTTTACACAAAGCTTCATATTCAACTCGATACCTGAAAAACAAAATTGTTAGAAGCCCTGAAAAGAATGAAATAAAAACAGGACAATTCTTTCATAGTATAGAGTTTTAAACAGTTGCAAGAGTAAAATGGAACAAAGCCCTACTCAGCCACCCAGGAGAAATCTATCCCTAGGGAAGATACGGAAGTGGCCTCAGCCCTTGTTACAGGAACCAGTGCTCAAACATGAAATTAACCCCCACTTTCTTCTTCTCAAATGTAATTTTTAAAAATCTTCAGGATACCCGGTGAGATGCTCTATCTGGGAAATGATGGGGAAAGGGAAATGAGTATCTGCAGTTGAGCACTGGCTTGGTGTGTCTGCTTACCTTTCTAACTGCATTTTCTTCTCTGCTATCAGTGCTTGCAGTTGCTGCTGTTGGGCTTCCCTCTGCTTTGCTATGGATTTGAGGAGGTTCCGAGCACCGATGGCCTAAGAAACAGCATTATCAAAGAAGGCATGGCTTTAAACTTAAGAAGGAAAGGCCACTTGGGAGGGGAAAGCCCCATGGTTTTAATGGTTAGGACTATTAACCCACTGATCCCAAAGTGCCTGGTAAAAAAATAACAGGAAGTAGTTCCGGCCGGCAAGTGTATGTAGTGGCCTACTGGGGGCCTTTTACCAAGTTATCTATCTGTACCTGGCAATCTTTCATGTCTTCATTTATAAAAGGAGGGTAAAAACACCCACCAGTGCTACCATGATGATCAAAAGGAGGATGACAAGTGTGGACTGCAGAGAGGACTCAAGGTTAGGCGCACTGGTCGCTCTTGGAGAGGAGCCAAGTTCAGTCTTTGGGCACCCACATAGCGGCTAAACAGTATAACTTCAGTTCCAAGGGGATCCAATACCCTCTCTGACCTTCAAGGGCACGGACACCAGGCACACACACATAGCACACATACATACGTAGGCAAAATAGTCATGCACATAAATCAATCTAGAAATTTGAGGACTGGAGAGATGGTTCAGTCATTAAAAGTGCTAGCTGTGCGTCCAGAGAACCTAAGTTCAATTACCAGCACTCAAACAGCAATTTACAACCAAACATTTCTAATTCTAGTTCCAGAGGACCTGATACCTTCTGGCCTCTAAACACGCACGTGTATGTGCACAGACATTCCTGTAGACAAACATTCATTCACATGAAATAAGTCTTGAAAAAAAAATACTGGCATATAAGTCCACCATGTTAATTAAGCCAGCATCTGTTATTAAATTCCTGTGTTAAATAAATAAGCTTACCATCCCAACAATAAAGACAAGCCTGCAGGTTTCCTGGCCAAGGCCAACAGCTGATCTTACCTTCATCTTCTCATTCTCCGCTTCTTTTGCAAGCTGATCAACAAGCTCAATTAGACCACCAACTATTTTCTGAAACTGGCCAATTTCTTTGAGGAAAAGAACAAAACATTCTTATTAGCATCCCTTTGAAGTAGGGAGGGCAGAGCTAACTGCCCCTCCTAATCTGTGTCATAGCAGCCTGGTACCTACTAACCTAACCCTCTCACCATTGGTCTAACCTAGAAAAGAGGGACCAGTACAGAGCTAGACTTTTGAGTATGAGCTCCAGGGTGGACCAAACCCTATCTCTCTCAGATAGGACTCTCGGGACACAAGTGCAGCCTGTGGACTGGCCAAAGACTGGGTTTCAGTAAAATGTGGTATGAAAATCGTTGCCTGTAACCATAGCTGGTAGAAAGCTCACATCATTAGGTGCCCCTTTTCCCATTCACTTTTTCCGGTGCTCTTGATATGTTGGAACCCTGTTTTATTTTTATGAAAATAAGGTCAGAGAAGTGGGCCACAGCATAGAGCAACCACTAAACTGGGAACAGACACCAAGCAACCTGTCACAAAACCATGGCCCAGAAATCTCTTGCTTCAGCTGAGTGTGCAACACAAGCTGGAACCCCAGCACTAGGGAGGCTAAGTTAGGAGAAGCATGAGTTTGAGGACAACATACAACATATAAAGAAAATTCCTCTGTTACAGCTTAATTTGGCTTTTTCCACTGGCGCTGGGCTAGCTCAGCAGCTAGGAAAGAAGGCCTCCTGGAGATCTATAGCCCAAAAGTCACCACTGTGCTGAGCTGCTCCTGGAGACCTCAGTTACCACCTCTCACTCTAAGTTAACACAGATCCTGCCACCAAGACAGGAAATCAAATCAGAATATATAATTCCATTTCCCACCTCCAAGTCATAATTCTCCATCATGAATTTTAAGGTTGTTTATCTAAAAACAGCCCCCTCTGCTCTAATCCAATGTGCTTGAGACTAAATGTGGAAATCTAGGCAGCAAAAGAGGGCAAGTAGAGAAGGTTGGGAATCCAGAGACCAGGCTCAATCCAGGCAGCAAGCAACTCCATTCTCCCAGATCTAAGAGCGGTAGTCAAGGTGGAGTATGAATTTGCTCAAAGCAGAATGGCACCGTGTCTTCAAATGATACTCACTGTCCACAAAATCCTTACACTCTTCCTTGAGCTCTATGGTCTGCTGGGTAACCTCTGGGTCCAACACCCGAAGCTTGTTCAGCTCATCAAAGTGCAGCCCTGCTTCCCCCAAGATGTCCTTGGCCATAGCTGCAAAGAAAGCAGCCCCAACCTGAATTGTGTCCCAGACATCCAAGGTAATCAGGTTCCTCAGCCACTCCAGTCCCCATATGCCAATGTCAAGCCCTCCTCATGGCCCCCAGACACCAATGTCAAGCCCTCCTCATGGTCCCCAGACACCAATATCAAGCCCTCCTCATGGTCCCCAGACACCAATGTCAAGCCCTCCTCATGGTCCCCAGACACCAATGTCAAGCCCTCCTCGTGGTCCCCAGACACCAATGTCAAGCCCTCCTCGTGGTCCCCATTCCCTCTACCTCCACCTCTCAGCCTCACCTGTTTCCCTTCCAGGCTCCCTAGAGAAGTTCTGCTTTGAAGGGGTGACAGTGGCAGTCAGGAGGTATGTCATAGGAGCAAGGGTCAGGAAAGAATAAAGTCCAATTGCTTGTCACAGGCATTGTTCATTCAACATACATTTCTTGAGTGCCTACTACATGCCAACACTGCTAGATGCTGGGGTGTAAAGATGAATGCAACATGGTGCCTGCCCTGGAGCAGTTTAGCTGGAGGAAAACAGACATGTAAACCTGATAAACTATATTGCATTAAGTGATTTTACAGAAATATCACTAAGCCAACAGGAAAAAAAAAAATGGAAACAGCAATTCATTTGGGTGCATTTGGCCTTAGTTGTGAGCCATAAGCATAGTTACAAATTCCCATTTATGTATCCCAAAAGGCTTTTCAAATGCTTGCACCGAAATCTCTTTCTCTTTCTCTTTCCCTTTCCCTCTCTCTCTCTCTCTCTCTCACACACACACACACACACACACACACACACACACACACTCACACACACAAAATAAAGAAAAAAGAAAGGAAAAGAAAAAGAAAGAATCTGGGTGAATTAAAAAATTAGAGTTAAAAGCCAGCTATGGTCATACATGACTCTAATTCTAGCACTTGCTGTGCCAAAGGACCAACACAAGTTTAGGAGCAACCTGGGTTACACTTTGAATTCCAGGCTATCCTGTGCTACATAAGACACAGTCTCCAAAACATAAACAAACAAACAAAAAACAAAACAAAAACCACTTGTGTTTTTGTGTTGTTCTATTTGGACAGTTTGAGTAATTAAGAGCTCCCAGGGATTAACTGGACGAGATGCTATTGAAAAATTCATGTACACCGGAGTTTGCATACATTTATTCTAAAAACTGTGGAATCCCTGCTCCAAGGACAAAGTGAACACAATGTCTCTGGACAAACAGTAAGCAAACAACAAAAAATTGGGGGGGGGAGGTACACGGGACAATTCTCAGTGCTCTGTGAAGCCACTGCAGGAGAACATAACTCACTAGGCAGATACCAGGGCAACAAAAGCCTTCAGAAAAAATAATACGAGACCTAAACATGTCCAAAATAATCTAAGAGAAGGGAGAGAAGTATTCTGGACAGAGGGAAAAGCACATAGGAAGATCCTGAGGCTAGAATCTGACCCAAAGGATGCTGTGATCAAAACGACAAGAAATAGGAACGAGGCTAGACTGGCTAGAGCTGGATGGTTCAATGCTGGGAAAGCCCCAGTAATGAACTAGGATTTCTTTTTTAATGTAACAGCTAGTAGTGGATTCCAGCAGTGCTCATCGATCAGATTTGGAACGATCACTCACTGCCTTGACCAACCGGAGGATCAGCAGCACAGAGGTGCACTACCAGATTAACTCTTCACTGTGAACCTAACATCTAAGCAGGTTGCCTGCAAGTAAGCGGCACTCTGTTAATGTTTGCGGAATGAAAGAATGTGGAAACAGTAGGCTGTAACAGAAGAAAAGATTTGAAGCTGAAGACGAGATCAGAACTGACATGATTCCCGAGTCGATAGAATTTAGTAATAGATTGTTGAATGCAGCAGTTTGGAGATGAGTGAAGAAAAGAGCCAAACATGATTGCCATGGATTAAACCAAGTGTATGGCTGGCATGGACAGTTTAATGAGATGCTTAAGAAACAGAGTTGCAGGGAAATGGTTCACAGTGAACTAACAGTGAGGTACCCACCTCACCCCCAGCTTCTCTACCACAAACATGTCCCAGGGACCTGGGATTGAGCTTCCTAAACATAAGGACGGTGACTGGCTCTACCCGCCCTGGCTCTCCCAGATCCGCAGCCACTAAAAATAGTTGTGGCTGTGGAGTTTGGAGAAGGCTCTGGCACAGTGAGGAAAGACTGGGCAAAGGACGTGGCTGCCTTTACTATGTTATCCCCCTGAAATGCCCGAGCCTCGGTTTCCCGGTGACATCGTAGGGAGCCATGCTCTAGGGCTGAGCTGGGTCTAAACCGGTTCCCTAAAAATTTCGAGGATGGGAAACGGCTGGGTGGGCCAGCCAATCCTCATCGCGGGGCCAAGTCGGCCTCCTCTAGTCCCAAATCCACCACGTCCCCCGACCTCAAATCACCACAAACCTGACGACCCGTCCTGGCGTCGCGCTGCGGCCCAGACGGCTAAAGGTGGAAAGTTCTCTCCGGTAACTGCAACCAGCCGCTGCCACGGATACAGGAACTATTAGCCTCACGTCACGCCGACACCAGAACCACTAGCATCTGCCCACCCCGCAGTGCCTGCTGGGAAATAGACACCCCCGAGAGAGCGGTAACTGCCCACGAAACCCAGAAGCCTTTGCGCCGGAAGTAGATTTGCTCGCTTCCGGAAGCGGAAGAAGGCCAAGTCTCAGCCGGATTCCCGACTCCACCGCCTGCTCGCGCGCTGTGCATGCCGGGTCTTGTAGTATATTTCTCGAGTCGTAGGGCAGGGTTGCCGCTCAGGAGTCGACAGGCGCAGGGTGTGAGCTCACAGCCGAGATTGCAGGCAGCCACAGGCCAGAGGCGGCACGGAGTCCGCTCGCCACTCGCCTGAGAGGAGAGGCGCCCCAGCGGACGGTGAGAGCCAACCTGTTTGTGCAAGAGGGGAAGGACAGGCTCTGCCGGGTCCTGGGCAAAAGGCACGGGACGCCACGCGGGGATGGAGTTCAAGTCCTCTCCTGGGGAGTGGGTGGCACCACGGATCTCAGATTCTCAGAAAAGGAGGGGTGTGGCGGGAGAGCAGTCTGCACTGCCAGGAGAGAAGTGGGATATTTCTTCATTTCCACAGGGGATCCTTTGGGTGAAGCCTAAGCGTCACTCTCACAATTTCTGACCTTTTTAGCCAAAACGAGACTTCTCACTCTCTCGCTGTCCATCGTGTCCTTCCTTTAGGACCCCAAATCTTTTCACTACCGCGATCGTTTGCCCTTTGTTCTGTTTGGCTTCCCATGAGGTTCCCTTAGAGACACCTGTAGGTCCCTAACCCCAGGATTACCCCAATGGAGGGAAGAGCACTGACGCTATCCGTGGAAACTTCATCCTCTCAGAAATTTCTTTCTAGGGCGTCACCTGCCACTGGACTCTTGGAACTCATTGGTCTGGGTGGAATCTGGTCTGACGTCACCCAGGACTCAAAGTGGCTGCTTTGTAGGAAAAGAATAGATTAGCACCGGATTTGACTTCCTCAGCTGCAGGCCTAGTCATTGAGTTTCTTTGATTTGGTAGAACATGTATATATGCTTCCTTTGATTCCGAAGAAATAGGGTTTGGACACAAAATATGTGAGGAACTTGCTAAAACTTTTTGTTAAGGAGTTGACCCCCACCCTTGGGGTAGGCCATATTGCTCACCATTTTTTTTTTTTTTTTTTCCTTGAAACAGGATTTCTCTGTGTAGCAGTTAGAGCCTGTCCTGGCACTCGCTCTGTAGACCAGGCTGGCCTCGAACTCACTGAGATCCACCTGCCTCTGCCTCCCAAGAGCTGGGACTAAAGACATGTGCCACCAATGTTCGGTCCCATTCTAGCATTCCAGTATTACTTACTGTCAGTCTCCTGGGGCTCATTTCATTCATATTCCATCACTAAAGCAAATAAGTCACCAAAAGGATGTGCTACTTCACACAGCACCACCCTAGCCTTTCCCTGACAACCCTCAACCCCCGACCATTCCAGGGACACACCTAAATCTTTTCAGGAACAGTTTTAGTCTAACAAGCCAATACATATTGAATACTTGAAAGTGTGCCTTCTTGTCTGAGGACCCACATTCTGGTTTCACCTGTAGGCATTAGGAGCAACAGGAATTCACTGAGTGTTCTGGGATTTAAAGAGGTCCATCCCACTTTGGGGGCTTTTGTTTCTGTCCCCAGCCTTGCTTCTGAAATCCTCACCTTCACCATCTCTTGCCTAGACCACTACTTCTGTGATCTCCACACTTCCTCTGAGGCACCTTTGCAGTCCTACACAGCATCAGGTTTGTCCTTGGAAACTATAAATAAATAGGATCATATCACTCCCCTGTTTAAAGCCTTCCAGTGAGTTCCCAGAGTATATTGCAATTCAAGCAAGACCCAACTCTTCGCGGTCATGTAATACTTGCTTTCTCTGGCTTTCCATCAGACCACTTTCCCCCTTCTTCCTGTATACCAGCCACCATGTCACTACTGTTCCGAAAACTTGTTCCTTTTTAACAATTTGTGTGCCTGGTGCCCACAAACACCAGAAGAGGCCATCAGATCTCCTAGTTATACATCATTGTGAGCTTATAAATTGAATGTAGGTCTTCTGGGAGGAAGCCAGGCTCTTAAATGCTGATCCATCTCTCCAGCCCCATAAAATTGGTTTCATTTTTAAAAAATATAAGTGTACATGGGTGTGCCTGTGTATGTACACCATGCAGCCAACAGGAAGGCCAGAAGAGGGTGTCAGATCCTCTGGAACAGGAGTGACAGATTATTGTAAACTAATTGATGTGGGTGCTGGGAACTGTACCTTGGTCTTCTGCAAGGGGAATACATGTTCTTACCACAGAGCCACCTCTTCAGCCTCTAAAACTTATTCCAAACAGCTTTGCACTTGCTCTCTAGAATATGCTTTCAGACCTTAGCTGTAATGTCCTCTTCCCTTGGTCTCAAGCTTCAGCCTGATAATCCCCATGTCATTCTTATATTCTCAGTTACATTGATGGTCTGTGTACCATCTGTGTACCAGTCTGCTTCTAGTTTGTGTTTTTGTTTGAGACAAGGTTTCTCTATATAGCCTTGGCTGCCCTGGAATTCACTACATACAGTAGGCTAGCCTGGGACTTCCAAGTACTAGGACTAAAGGCATGTGCTATTAAGCCTAGATAATCTGTCTTCTTCTACTAGAGTGGAATTTCCATGAGGGCAGGACTCTTCTGTGTTTGTTCTTTTCTATTCCTAGTGCCTGACACACAGTAGGAGCATAATAAATGGTAACATTACTATTTTTTAATTCTTGTTAGGCTGAGGATGTAGTGTTCTTTGAACTCCTTGAAGCAAGGACAGTGTCTTTATATGGTTCCTACTTCTTAATATAACAGGTCCAAATAGTTTTATTGTCAAGTGAATTAAACGAGATAATATATACACCAATGCCTAGAATATTCCCTGTCACATACTAAGCATGCAGTGAATTTAACTATGATACTTTTTCTTTGGTGAATGAATATTATTGATATTATTATTTTTTAATTTTTAGAGGGCTTTTTTTTTTTTTTATGTGTGAGGGTGTTTTGCCAACAGGTTATCTATATACAATTATGTGCAAGGTTATCTATATACAATTATGTGCAGTGCCCACAGAGGCCATAACACAACATCAGATCCCCTGTAACTGGTGTTATAAATGGTAATTGCTATATGGGCTTGGGAATTGAACCCAGGTCCTCTAGAAGAGCAGCTGGAGCTCATAACAGCTGAACCATCTCTTCAGTATGTGACTTTTCACTATTGCTATGTTCGTTTTGTTTTCTAAAGACAGAGATCCTGCTATTTGGCCCAAGTTGGCTTATGTCTCATTCTGTAATGCAGACAGGGCTTGGACTTGATATTTCTTTCCCCAAGTTTGAGCAAAGAGTTTGTGCATTGTTCTTCTAAGGGCAAGCCGTCGGTGGTGAGAGGCAGTGGTGAATTGGGTGGGCTCCCGACACCACGCAACTACCTGATACACCAAGGCAGCCTGAGAATGGCTTGTTCTGCAGAAGTATTTCTGGCACACAGCCTGTCCTCTTGCAGATTGTCAAAGAGTCCTCAGAGGTCAAGTGCTTTCTAGTGTTGCATGTGTGTGCCACCATACCTAATAGTATCTAACGGGGGTGGGGGGTGTTTGTTTTTGAGGCAGAGTCACTTGTATCCCAGGCTGGTCCTAAACTCTCTAGGTAGCTGAGGAACAGCCGGTCTTTCTGCCTCCACTGCCTCCCTGGCCTCCACAGGCTAGGGCTATCATATTTACTTTACATGCTGCTGAGAATCTAATCCAGAGCTCATATGTGCTAGACAAGCATCCTACATTAAGCTACGACTTAGTCTTTCCTTTTTCCCCTGAGACAGAATCTCTGAAGTTCAAACTACCTCAGCCTTTCAAGTACTGGATTGTTAGGTGTGAGCCACCACCCTTGACCTGGTTAGTAATAGTTTGGATAAACTACAACATTACAGCCAGCGGTGGTCACAAACACGTTTAATCCCAGCACTGTAGAGGCAGAGGCAAGTGGAGCTCTGTGAGTCTGAGGACAGTTTAGTTTACATGTCAAGTTCCAGAATCAGGGCTATATAATTGAGGGACCTTGTTTAAAAAAAAAAAAATATATATATATATATATATATATATATATATGTGTGTGTGTGTGTGTGTGTGTGTGTGTGTGTGTGTGTGTGTGTGTGTGTATATATATATATATATATATATATATATATATAAAATACAATTATCCCTCCATGTCTGTGTGGCACTGACTCTAGGTTCTTTGCAAACACCAAAATCTGAGGATGCTTACATTAAGTGTTGTCATATATAATCCATGCACATACTCCTGAATTTCTTCTATCATCTCTGGATTATTTAAAATGCCTAATACTATGTAAATATATGAAGTATGACACACATAGTTGTATGCAAATGTATGCAAATGTATGCAAATGTATGTATGCAAATAGTTATTATACTGTGCTGTTTAGGGAATGGTAACCACAGTAAGTGTGTATCCATTCAGTAAAAATGTAATTTTGTTTGTTTTTTATACAAGGTCTCTCTGTGTAGTCCTGGCTGTCCTGGAGCTCCCTCTGTAGACCAGGCTTGGCCTGGAACTCACAGAGAGCCTCTTGCCTCTGCACCCCCAGTGCCAAGATTAAAGGCATGTGCCACTATGCCCATCTAAGACTCCATCTTTTTTTTTTTTTTTTTAACTCAGAGTTTACAGGTTTAGAACTTAGAATATAAATAGCAACACAAAAAACAGAATGCAAGCCAGGAAGACAAACCAACTTTTCTTTTAATCATTTCTCTGGTCTCCAAACTGTTAGTATTTTATTTTCCACATTCCTTAATCATTTTAAGGTCATCGTCATGTTTGTTCTTCCCATTCTTGGTGAGAAGGAAAAGAAGAGAGATAGGGCTCTCAGGAAAAATCAACAAAATAGCCATCCTGTGTTCCGCCTTGAAAAATGGTGACAATTATAGGAACTTGGGGCAAGGCCGATGCCAAGAACGGGGAGGGTCAGGAAAACTCATGGGAGCTCAGGTAACCCCTGTCAAGCTCCCTGGCTGGCTACCTCCAGAACTGGCCTTCTCCAATCTCTTAAAACCACACTCATGTTCCTTCCTGGATCACAGGCTCCCTTTGGCTGGTGCTAACCTGAGTCCTGGAGCCGGCTACTCCTGAAACAGGAAATGCATCCTGTCCCACTGGCTCCTGGGAAAGTCTCTAGGCCGGCTAGATTCCCAGTCGGTTAGTCTGGAAAGTCTGGAATCTTGGGAAAACATTTTCTGGAGTCAGTGTGGTGGATCCCAAGTTGATCTATTCATCTGTTCTTAGTTCGAAGGGGTTTGTTTTGTTTTGTTTTGTTTTGTTGCAACCCAAAGGAGGAGTTTATGCTCCCAGACCTGGCTCCTGGTGCTGTTAGAACAGCATAGGGGTCACTCTTATTGACACCCAGTATCCTAGTTTCCTTTCTATTGCTGTGATAAAACGTTGGGAGGAGAGAGTTTATTTGCCTTACACATCCAGGTCATAGTTCTTCACTGAGGGAGTTGGGGGAGGAACTGGTGGCAGGAACCTGAGGATAGAGGAATGCTGCTTACTTACTTGCCCAGTCTGCTCTCTTATACCACCCAGGACCACTTGCCCAGGGATGGCATGCCCTGCCCCCATCGATCACTAACCAAGGAAATGCCCCTGCAGGCTTGCCTCCGGGCCAGTGTAATAGAGGCATATACCCAATTATGGTTCTCTTCCCAGATGACTTTAACTTGTGTCATGTTGACAAAAAAACTAACCAGCACACCCAGGAATTTAGCCTCTGCTTGGGAGTACATGGGCTTCTCTAGGAAGTAAACTGTGTCAGAGTTCCTACTGCTGTCCCCTCCTCCCTTGTGGTCTCTACTCTGCTGACTTCTGTGTTCTCTACCTCTTGGCTTACAGCACTGAGAGTATGAGGCCCTGGCCTCTGTGGGCCAATCATTCGTGATCACTTCCACCACGGCAGAAACTTCCAAGCCTACCTCCTGCCGTGTGGTGATCTACCTACAGCGGGAGATGTCAGGGGACACCTGTCTGTGCCCAGCCTCAGGGGCCAAGCCCAAGATAAGTGGCTTCAAGGGAAGCGGCCTGGGCAACAAGTACGTGCAGCTCAATGTGGGTGGCTCCCTGTACTATACTACGGTGCGGGCCCTCACCCGGCATGACACTATGCTCAAGGCCATGTTCAGTGGGCGCATGGAGGTGCTGACTGACAAAGAAGGTAAGGCATTGTGTCTGGGCATGCTGAGCAAGGGAGGAGAGGAAAGGGGCATCCTTCAATGACTTCAGTGCAAGGCTGAAGCTCAATAGATCTAGGATTTGTAATTTTTCCTCTTCACTTCTTACAAGTCTTAATAGGGCTTCAGAATCCCTTGAAATTGTACGTAGAATGCTGTATGTTTATGTGTCATCCAGAGGAATAAGTCCACACTTTAAAAATACTCAGGCTGCGTGTGGCGGCACACATCTCTAACCGTACCACATTGGAGGTGGGGGACAGGAGGATCAGACATTTGAAGACAACCTCCATTACATAGAGAGTTTGAGGCCAGCCTGGGCTAAACTTTATATCAAGGGGAATTTTTTTTTTTTTTTAAATAGAATCCAGGAATGCTGGCACAAGCTTGTAATCCCAGCACTCAGTTTGAGGCAACTCAATCTCAAATCTGAGGCTAACCTAGACAATTCAGCAAGACTCTGTTTCAAAAACTAACATATGGGCCAGGCACACCCCTCTACTCCCAGCACTCAAGAGGCAGAGGAAGGTGGATCTCTGTGAGTTCAAGGCCAGCCTGGTCTACAGAGTGAGTTCCAAGATAACCAGGACCTTGAAAAACAAAACAAAACAAAAAAAAAAAAAAAAAAAAAAAAAAAAAAACACCAAAAAGGCTGACATATGTATCCAAGTAAGTAAGATTGTCATAAACACAGTAGAGCCTGGGCAGTAGGCAAAAAGCAAGCAGAGACTGGTGGTTTCTGTATTACCAGGATAACCTGAGTTCCTCCAAGCTTAGACACCCCGTCCTGCACAGAGCCCTGAAGATCTGTATCTTCTCAGGAGCACAGAGTTCCTGGACTCAGGATAGGGAAGTGCAGCACAGCTCTGAGGCCTAATCTGCCTGCCACACATGGTCTGGGCTCTTTACTCTCTTGGAGCTCCTTTTTTTGCATCCTGTTGCCTACTGCCTCTCTCCGGGTCTTTGCTTGCATGAGACACAACTAGAGACTAACAGTAATCCTGTGGGATCCCTCTAAATTCCTAGGCTGGATCCTCATAGACAGATGTGGAAAGCACTTTGGCACCATCTTGAATTACCTCCGGGATGACACCATCACCCTCCCTCAAAACCGGCAAGAAATCCAGGAATTGATGGCTGAAGCAAAATATTACCTCATTCAGGGGCTAGTGAATATGTGCCAGTCTGCCCTGCAGGTATGGAAAGAATTAGGTGGCCTAATGAGGTTGGGAATTGTCCCTCTGGACAATTAGGTTTGGCTCCTGGAAAGCTGTGTTGGAAATGAGGTTGATGAGTCCAAACCCAGTTAGAACAATGGGGTGCTGCCCAGGCCCAAGCAAACTGCTGCTAGGTATTCACATTTGGTAGCACAAGCAGGCTGAGCCTCTAATTCATTTGCTTAGATATCCAAGCTTCAGATTTTCTGGCAGAGGAGATCTGCTTACTGGCTGGCAATGTCTATTACCAAGAGTCATGATCTGTCTGGTACCTCCTTACCAGGCATGGGGTAACTGTGGCAAGGCCTGGAGAAGTACCTGGCTAGCACAAGATCCTAAAGGCTGCTCTCTGCTCTGTCTGTCACCCAGGACAAGAAAGACTCCTATGAGCCTGTGTGCAACATCCCCATCATCACATCCCTGAGAGAGGAGGACAGGCTCATCGAATCCTCCACAAAGGTACTGGGTACTCTTAGGGCCTTGGTCTGGGGACACCCTGTTCCTGGCCTAACCCTTACTCCATCTTCTCTCACAGCCTGTGGTGAAGCTACTATACAACAGAAGCAATAACAAGTATTCATATACCAGGTATGGCAGGCATTTCTGCTAGGGCGCTGGGGAGGGCGGTAGATGCAGCTGAAGGGCTGAGCAACCAGAGCAGCTCTGGATAGTAGGCCCAAGGAACTTCACAGGTTCCCGACACATGTAACATGGGCTTTGAAACCACCTTTGCTAAGGGCAATGAACAGGGATGGAAGGGAACTCAGGTCAGAGGTATTTGGGATTTGTTATATAATCCTGGTTGGGATGTAGATGATAAAATGTGAAACATGTATGTAATGTATCCTATCAGGAACATGCCAGAGATTTCCATCCCCCATTGCCTTAGTGAGTGAAGAGGGGTGCTAGGAAGTCATGAGCTGAGTCCTCCTGAAGCTGGTGCTCCTCACTGTATCCTCATAACAGGCTACAGTTAGGTAGACCCAGGTGGCTACAGGCTTGACTCTAGACTCTCCTGGTCCCCTGTGAATACTGCATCCACCCACAGCAAAAGAGCAATGTACTGAAGTAACAGTGAGGGACCCTTTCTTCCAGGCTTAAGGAGCAGTCACTTCTTTCTCTCAGTGCTCTCTGCTGTAACTGAGAGCCATTTCCATCCCTTTCCCTCAAATTCCCCAAGTCTTACAGGTTCCTCTCTGCCTCTCTGGCCTTTGGGTGGGGGCAGCATGGAGAACCCAGAATGTCCCAGAAGCACTGTCTGGTGCTGGAACCTCATTCTAGGCTTCTGGCCCTTCGGTTTTTTTTTTTTTTTTTTTTTTTTTTGTTTTGTTTTGTTTTGTTTTGTTTTTCCAGCAACTCTGATGATCACCTGCTGAAAAACATTGAACTGTTTGATAAGCTGTCCCTACGCTTCAATGGCCGTGTGCTCTTTATCAAGGACGTCATTGGTGATGAAATCTGCTGCTGGTCTTTCTACGGCCAGGGTCGCAAGTTGGCAGAGGTGTGCTGCACCTCCATCGTGTATGCCACAGAGAAGAAGCAGACAAAGGTATGTCCTTTCCTCTGCTAGGAGACAGATCACACAGACTCCAGGGTTGAGAACTGGTGTTGCTCCAATGTACCCATCCCACAGCAACAAAAGGGACACATGTACTTTCCCAAACATGGTATGATGGTGCCAGGTAGGACAGCGCCAGAACAAAGGGGTTGGGGAATGGTCAGAAACTGTTACCAGCTGCTGAAAAAAGAAGCCCACCGACCAGCAACTTTCTGGTGCCATGGAAGGACTAGGTCTTTGACGTTGTTACAATTCAGGATGTAGATCTAGTCCCACCACATCTAGGTTATCTGATTTTATGAGGAGCCATTGGTCTTTTCCTGCTTACAGAAATGGGAATGTCTAAATGTAGCCAATACATGGCAAGGGTACCAAAGCAAAATGGCATAGCTTTCCACTTCAACACTGCTCTTTACAGCCAGGCTCGTCAGCAGGCTTCCTTAGCCCATGAAACATCACAGTGCCAGATGAGCACAAGGCACCTTTTATTTTTACTTTTTGTTTTTGAAACAGGGTAACTGAAACCTAGGCTGGAGTTTGCATATAATCTAGGTTGGCCACAAACACATGGCATTCCTCCTGCCTCAGCCTGCTAGGATTAGGGTTATAGGTATAATCCACTATAATCAGCTGTGTGAATTACTTGGTAGGGGACAGACTCAGCTCCTCCCTTTCTGCAGAGGCCAGCAGGTGTCATCTCTAGAGTGGAGACAGGTGGGGTTTTACTAGGTGGAAAAGGGGAATAAAGGGGGCAAACATCCAGACCCAAGAGCCTTAGCCCCAGACTGCCACATTGCCTCAGGCTGAGTGATCTGCTGAAGGCTGTCCAGAGGACAGCTTATATGAGATGGTAATCCTTGGCAGTTGGGGGTGGGGGATGATGATGACATGGAGTTAGTCAAGAGGCTGTGACAGTGGAGTCAGGATTCAGGACCTGAGTAACAGCAGAGGTAGCAGTGCCTGTCTTCTTCCTAGGTGTTCTTTTCCTTCTTCCGTATGCTCCCCTAACTCTTCACATCCAGCTATAAGACAGGCTCAGCTGGGCCATTCTCCCTACTTAAGATGAAGGCACAACAGCTCTTCCCTCCACATTGACCCTAGGGGAGACTTTCTGGGTCAGAGAAGCAATGGAACTGCTTGTCAGAATTTATTTATTTGTGTGTGGGTGATGACAGGACAGCCTGGAATTTCCTTCCATTTGAGTTCCACCATTCAGGTCCTGGGATCAAACTTAAGTCGGCCGAACTATTCCCTCACTCCCTTTTTGAAATAGGATTTCACTAGGTGGGCTGGCTTCAAACTCTCCATCCTCCTACCTCAGCCTCCCAGGTAGCAGGGATTACAGATGGATACCACCCAGCCTGACTAAGCAGCTACTTTTTATTGTGTATTTGGTTGTTTATTGTGTCAGGCTATTCACTGAGCTAAAGAATGTATGTCTTTCTTTCAATGTTGACAGATTTCAAGAGATGCTAGCTCAGGTTGACAGGCATACCTAGGAGCCTAGTGCTCAGAAGGCTGAAGTAGGAGGATTCTGAGTCTAGGGCAGCTTGGGAAATAAGGAGACCCTGTCTCAGAACAAAAACAAAGTAGTGATTGACATCACTTTACACACATAGAAACTGCAGCCCAGAAAGCTCAGTCTCAAGACCTAGCATCTTGTCCAGAGTTGTTTGTACCTGTCCATACCCATGATGATAGTCTTCAGTTGTGGAGTGGGGTGGGGATGCAGGGGTGCGATAGTCTATATTCTCATGTCCCCTGATGCTTCTCTTGTTAGCCAGGCAGCTACCTGACTTCTAAGTTAGGCTTCATGGAAGAGACAAGGTCCAGAGCCCTAATGTTTCCTCATGAAATGAGACCTCACTCCATCTTGTTCCCTTCTCCCCAGGTGGAATTCCCAGAGGCCCGAATATATGAGGAAACACTCAACGTCCTACTCTATGAGACCCCTCGAGTCCCTGACAATTCCTTGCTGGAGGCCACAAGCCGGAACCGCAGCCAAGCTTCCCCCAGTGAAGATGAGGATACCTTTGAACTTCGAGACCGTGTCCGCCGAATTCATGTCAAGCGCTATAGCACTTACGATGACCGGCAACTTGGCCACCAGTCTGCTCATCGAGACTAATGAGGCCCTTAGGAAGTCAGAGCACAAGAAGCCATGTCTGCTATCCTGTGGATCATAGCCCATTGGCCATCCTCTTCTGCTTCTGCGAGCTGGGAGCCTGTTCTAGCGTGTAGCAGTGCAGGGCCCTGCTTGGGAGGTCTGGGAGCCTGGCAGAGGAAAGGTCACACTGTCTTACCTGGTCCTGCTCCCCTATCACTTCCGGATGTTACCCCACTTCCTGCCTGACAGGGAGCTACTTCTGCTTTAGGGCGAGTGCACTGACTTCCACCTCCTGTGGAGAACATTCTCCAGGCCCTTGGCTGAGTGCCCTTCTTTCTGCTGAAGTGCTCCTTCAGTTCCTCAACTGAACTCTGTTCTATGGAAAAGGAGGTTTCTGGTGCTGCAAGGACCCAATTGAAGGGCAGCCTTCTTTTTTTCCTAAGGTGTTTAAGCATAGGTATGACCTGATTTGTTTCTTTGTTTTTAAATCTAGATGTTAGCCTGGTGACCTTGCCTATAATCCTGGCTATGGAGAAGCTGAAGCAATATAACAAGTTATAGGCTAGCCTGGACAACTTAGCAAGATGCTGTCTCAATACAAAGTTTTAAAAAGAGGGCTAGTGGCATAGCTTAGTGGTAGAATACTTACCTAGTAAGAGTGAGGTCCTGGGTTCAATCACCAGTACTGCCTGCCACACAAAGTACCTAGAAAAGGACTAGTTTCTAGTGTGATGAGGGAGAACCTAGGACTAAGTACTTGCTAACCCTGCAGGATGCCAGGACCCCTCCTAGGCAGACACCCCCCCTCCCCGCCACACACACACACACACACACACACACACATATTCTCTCTCTCTCTCTACCCTTTTAAATGCCCTAACCCAACTTTAGAGCACTTTGTATGTCTGTCATTCAGGAGTGTGGCATATGCTATAATGCCAGCACTCAAAGGCTGAGGCAGAAGGATCATAAGTTTGAGACCAGTCTATGCTATGTAGTTAAAAGTTCTAGGCTAGTATGGGAGAGACTATGTCTCAAGAAAAAAGCAAACTGACTAGTTTTGGCTTTGTCAACCTGACTGGGCAGTCTAAAGAACACCAGGAGGAGAAGGGTACCCAAGTAGAGCCCATGATTTTAATACGGGAAAAGATACCTCACTCCCTGTAGGGTCATATCATTGATTCAGACCTAACACAGTTGTTTGGTTTGGGTCTCATACTTGGATATGCTCAGCTCTAAGACACGCTGTTCCCACAGACCATAAAACCAAAAGCTGTGATGCAGGCCAGAAACACAGCTGCAGCAGAAGGCTATGGAACCATCACTAAAGAGAGCAAATCTTGGAGCCCTATGCTACCAGGAATGCCCGCAGATGTGGCCCAGGCTTGGCCATACTTTTGCCCGGCCACATCATGTCTCGGTTTATGGTCTAGCTCTGGGCAGTGGTTCTGTTTAGTGATAAGTCTCAAATGCATAGTAACCACAGCGACTTAAGCCTTTTGAAAGGCCTTTATTTCTTTTGGGTCATTTGACCATGGAGGTACCAGGGTCTAGAATGAATGTGAATTATTCCTCTGGGCTTTGGTTTTCCTCCCCTTCTTTGCTGGTCTTGGCCCTCTTTAACTAGATTCTTTCCAGGGGAATGTTGTCACTGAAGGGAGCTGTTTGCAAGCCTGACAAAGTGTGTGGCCATCAACAATGCTCAGGACTGAATACAGATTGTCAGCTTTATCCCTTGACTACTCTTATAACTGTCAAATGGCTGCACATAGCTTACTTCTCAGAGCCTATAGGCAGATGCCAGGGTTAGGGTTGGGATCTCACATGGCCCTGATATGACATGATAGAGCAGGGGAAATGTGACTTAGAAATCAGGCATTTGATTTTAATCACAGTCTTGAATGTATAAACAGCTCTAAGATGCTCAGGTCAAGTACCTTGGTGATCAACAGCTACTAGTTCTTCCAGATCTCACTGGAAGTGAGATGACAATCCTTTTTTTGGGGGGGGGGGGCAAATTTAGAGGCTTTCCCACACACAGACTTTGGAATGTTGTAGTATGAGGCCTCTGGTCTATTTTCTCAGCTGTACCCCAGAAGCCCTTTAATATTCAGAGTCCCAGTTCCCTGCTACATGTTTTCCAGTTTGTTCCTTTACTCTCATATCCCCATTAGTCTCTACTTGGTGCTCTGATATCCATATCCTTGTATTTTCATTTTGTTCCTTGACTTCTATATCCCCTTTAGCCTTCTACTTGGTGCTTTGACACCGTATCATTGGTGTCTGGTCCTTGGGCCTTTACAGTAGCAAGAGTCCAGGGCTGGGTATTCATGGTCTTTGACTGAAAACATCTCTCTCCTTGGTTTAAGGAAAACACTAACACTGAAGTGATCTGAGTGTTTTTGCTTGGACTTTAAGGTTTAGGGGTTTGTGGGATTTCCCAGGCCTGTTCCTACAGTAGCTCTTGGCAGGATGAATTTACAGGCTCTGCTGTACTTGGAATTGATGTGACTGGTCTGCCTAAAGGGTAGCACAGGTCCTGGCATAAAAGACTGTCTTTTACTGCATACTTGCAATCCTTGGTTGTTTCCCCTAAGTAATAGAATTAACACTAACTTCTAATAAAATTGTGTTACACTGCAATGGTGCTGAGCCATGTTTCCAGTGAGTAGAGCCTGGCCAGCTCACAGCTGTGGGCTCAGTTCTTGTATTTCCGTTCCCTCCATAACCTTGTATTCTAGAAAGGTTAAAAGACTCATTCCTCTGTTGTCCTACAAACCCACACTCCCCCTGGTGGAAGACTAAGAACAATACTCACAAGGACTGGAACTGAGATTTAATAATGCAAGAATGAAAGGACCTCTAACAGTGACAGGTGGTGAAGGAACCCTGAGAACTGGGGCAAAATGCAGCTTAATTCTTCCTCCTGTTGATCTGACAGAAGCTCGGAAAGCGGCTTGGCTTGGTCACTGTCCATAACTTAAGCTGCTTCTTGGCTGAATTCCTATACTTGTGGTCTGGATGTCTAACAGACTTTTGCTCAATGCTCACAGCTCTGAGAAACATGACTGGTTTTGCCTCACCCTTCTCCAAGCTTAGTGAAGCCAGAGATGCTGGTGGCTAATCAGTGTTTATACTCAGGCCACTTGAACCCTAAATGCTGGCCTCCTGGCCTCCTCTGTACTGGATGGAGGGTAAAGAAGACACTGAGAACTTAGTCCAGTATAGCACAGCCCACTGTTAGCCAGTGTCCCCTGGAGATGTCCAGTCTCTGAGGAAGACACATTCTAGCAGAGGCAGCAGCTCCCTAGAAGGGACTCTGCAGGAAAGCAACCAAGAGTTCCCACGGGGTCAACAAGGGAGCCTGAGACCCTGGGGACAAAATGGCCAGTGTGGCCAAATGAGCACTGGTTTATTGACCACAGCTCACATTCCAGACAACCTGTAACAACTGAACATAGTAATCTGACAGCTTTGCTGGAACATGGTGTGGGCAGGGGCTGACCTTGGAGGAGTCTTAGATGGGTCTTCCAAGAAAAGTTACAGTCTCCCTCCAAACAAAGAATCCCAAAATTAAGAGGCCCATTGTAGCCCATAGCAGGGAGAGACTTAAAGTTCTGCAGCAATTATGGGTAAAGAGCTATTCTGAGGGGCCCAACTTGGGCATTCAAGGACCTCAGCTGGCCTACCAGTGAAGGCCTGAGGGTGGTGTCTTCTCATCTTTATTGCTTTCCAAGGAGAATGGTGGGATCCGGACATCAAAGTGGGAGCCATCGGGTCTCTCAAAACGAAATGTGCCCCTATGGATTGGAGAAGCCGCTTTAGAGGGAGAAAGGGCCGCACTGAAAGTCCTCTTGATCTGTGTGCACCCATGTCCTCTGATCCAGAGTCACAGTGCATGAGGAAGATGGGCTTGTCATCTGCCTGGCTCATGACAGGAAAAGCGAAGAGCCAAGAGTCCCATGTTATATAGTTCATGCTATGAGCAGCCCACCTTACTCAAGATTAAGGGGAAAACCCAACTACATGAGCAATTCAGTACAGTCCCACAAATTGTAAGGAACTCATAGCCATAAAAACCATAGTCCCACAGCAATGAATAACAGCTATCTGTGCCCATCTCAGAACCTCACTCTGCTTAGCTTGCTCAGAGTTCTCCCTTTGTTGTGTTGGCATGAATGGAAATAGGGTCTCATAAATCTGCCTCAGTCTCCCAAGTGCTATGATTACAGGTATACAACTCCACCCTGAGTCCCAGTTCTCACTGGCAGCTGTCTGTGGAGTTGAGCAGCATATACTCCAGGATACACTCACTCACCACATGTGCCCACTGGAAGCTTGCAGGGAGACATGGCTGCTATACTGGAATGCAGGCTGCTCCTTGGATAACACTGGTTCCTAAAAGAATTCAGGCAAGATGGGTCAGGCCAAGCCCCTGAAATACATTTCTTCCACCCTGGGGCTGCCAAATACTGACTGACGACTCCTTCCACCTAAGCAGCCACAACAGCAGACACATCTACAATGACCATCTTTCAGTACTTCATCCCACATCGTGGGCAGTGGCCTGAGCATCTTATTTTCTATCTCTAGGAAAAACAAACTGGGTGGGGGCACTGAAGGAAGGATGCTAGGCAGACTTTCTGAAAACATCTCTACCTGCATTCACTCACATGAACAAGTGCCAGAAACAACAGCAGGGCTTCTGCCTGCAATGTTGATTCTCTTAGTGACATGAAGTACTATGTGTGATCCCTACTTTAGCAGCAAGAAACAGATTTGGGTTACATAATTTGCCCACGCCAGGAGTGGGGCACACACTTTCAATTCCAGCACTAGGAAAGCAGAGGGTGGTGGATCTCTTAATTTGAGACTAGCCTGCTCTACAAAGTAAGTTCCAGAATTGCCAGGGTTACAGAGAAACTTCGTCTCCAAAAACAAAAAACAAAACAAAAATTATATAGTTATTCAGTATATAGCTGGAATTTGAAGGCAAGCCCTTACTTAGGATTTTCTGGTTTTCAAAGATGTACATGAGCCCAACTTGGCCTCAAACTCACAATAACCCTGCTTCAACTCCCTGGGTGTATTGAGATATCCACCCTGCCCATACCTGTTGCACTGACCACACCCAATGGTCTGGGGTCCCAGACCTCAGCTCCCTCTCTTGTTTCCTGGTCAGGTTGCGGAGAGCATCTGACATCCATGGAACCGGAACCTGAGATGGTCATCTATTTCATGTGTAAGTGAATTCTCCCTGAATAAACCTCATTTAACCTATACTGAGTCCAGTGAATCTTAATTCCCATGCATTACCAGGGTACTAGACTACAGGTGT